ACCGTGCGACCCAGACGAGGGTTCTTCTTGCTGTAGCCGTCCAAGACCTGCTGGGACTGCGTGGCCGCGTGAATGGTGGTCAGGAAGCCCTGCTCCAGGCCGAACTGCTGGTTCAGCACCTTGAGCACGGGGGTGACGCAGTTGGTCGTACAACTCGCACAGGAGATGACCTGGTTGCTGTCGTCCGGGCGGTAGGCGTCCGAGTTGACACCGTAGACATACGTAGGCGAGTCGGAGCTGGGGGCAGAGATGATGACGCGCTTGGCCTGGCCGTGGGTGACATGCTGCAAGGCCAAGTCCCGCTTGGTGAATTTGCCGGTACTCTCAACCACATAGTCGGCGCCCAACTCGCGCCAGTTGATCAGGCGGGGGTCACGCTCGGAGATCAACCGGATGGGCTGGCCGCCGATGGTGATCAGACTATCGCTAACGGCGACGATCTCCTTGTGGGGGTCCATCCGACCCATCGTGCCGTCGTAGCGGATCAGGTAGATAAGGTCCTTGATCGAGTTGCAGGTGTGGTTGATAGCCACCACCTCGAGGTCGGAGCGAGTCAAGGATGCACGTAGCACATTCCGGCCTAGGGAAAGGGTTGAGTTGGTCAGGGACGCCTCACGAAGGGTCGATGCCCTGACTGAAGTGCGAGCTTACCTATACGACCGAAGCCGTTGATGCCAATCTTGCACGAAGGGCCATCGAAGCGGCTAGACTGTACACTCTGGACCGTGGAGGCGAAGTCCTCGTTGTGGATTGACGGCGCCATGACTTGCAGGGAAGGAGATCAGGGCTCAACAAGAAGGATGTGTCTTTCAGATGATCTTAGCCAGTCTGTTAGTGACACTTACATATTCATACGCTGTGTTAGGAGCAGATTGCCTATCTTAAATGTGGCCAGGGCCTCATCCCGAAGAAAGTGCCGATAATCGGATAGGAGACCCTCGGCCCGGCAGATTCCATCATATCGGAGGAAGCTGAAGGCATTACGAAAGCTGAAAACCGGATTGAGGTTAGGTGTCAATTTCCATGACAGGAGAGAACATATGGCCGACAACTTATCAACTACGTAAGGCATTTGTTCGCGGGAATTACTTGTGACGATGCATGGCTACCTAGTATACTTGAGCGAACTAGAAGCAACCCGCCCTACCGACTTAGCACCCGAAGGGACATGCCAGCCAGGTGAGGTGCGAGAGACCAATGAGAAGGTAGGGATGGGCAGCGGACATTCTCAAAGAAGAACAAGGGGAATAACCGGGGGAAAAGGCCGGAAAACGGATTAGAGATTCACCGCGAAGACTGCCACTTGTCCTGCCTCAGGCTAGGAACATAGTGCTGCCTTGGCTGGGTTACTTGCTGCCTTAGGCATCATGGGAGATCGGGCTGGCAAAGTCCGCCCGGCCGGAGCAAGATTCTTTTTTCATCTTGTTCTTACGGCCAAGCAAGCCGGGGGTAAATTGGTCCGGCTCGGGGAACTTCCGATCCCCCCCATGAATTGCCAAGCTGGCCGTAAAGCGCTCAAGTGGGGGCGTGTGGTTTCAGTCCGGCATCCCGACCAATCCTCACCACAACCACCACACTTACCCTAACTACCCTTCCTGAACCCGGCCTTGAATATCTCCTCGCGAGCTCCGCGAAGTCGTCTCCGACGACTAGATGGAGGTTCTTATCTCCTTATAGACCCCCGCCTCTTCCCCCTCTTGCATGCATGTCGAAGACGTTGTCATCCTTCTGGGGGATGTACCTATATCCGTGATCATGACGTGTAGAAAGATGGTCGAGTTGGATGCTGGGCGACTGGAGGGATGATCAGTAGCACCCAAGAAAATCCCACGTGTGCAAAGCACTGTCAAGGCAAAGCTTGTCCTCTCTTGTCCGCTTGGCTTTTCTAAGCGAGGAACGACACACACCATTCTTGCCTCCTACTCACATCCCACGCTTCTCTGCAAGGGCATACGAGTGGCATGACTTCGTAGACCCGTAAGCCCAGCGCCAACTGGTGCATGGCATGAGTACCACTCTGCATGGGGCTGTATGGCCCGATTGCTCCTCGTTTCCTCGTCTACCGCGCCTTTACCAAATGCGAATGCCGTGAATCCACCCTCTACCCCCCCATTTTGCCCCCCGGACGGTTCGCCGACCCACGTACACCCACATGGGTACACCATTCCAATGCACCCCAACGCACCCCAGCTCATCGAGAATTCCAATTTGCCAGGACTCGAATCCTCTCTGGTCTCATGCGGGGCCCCAGCGCGGGAGTCTGGAGCAGAGATTGGAAATCCCCCGGCTGGGCATGAATTGGGGTCGTGGTTTGGAGACCTATAAAGATGTGCTCACCACCTGCCTTGTCCTTTCTTGCGCCTTCTGCACCTCACTTTCTGCCATCCTCCTACCCTCCGTCCATCCCATCTCTCTGCACCTCACATTCTCGCTACCATGGCCCAGTCTCGGGTGCCGGCCCGGGGCCTCACCGGAAGGACCCTACACTTGGCCCAGATTGCCCTTATTGTGGCTCCGGCCTTTGTTTGTTTTGGCTACAATCAGTCTGGGCTGGGACCCCTTGCCACCCTCCAGAGCTGGGTGCACACGTTTCCTTCGATCGACACCGTCAACACTGTTGGAGAGCAAAAGTCACAAAACTCGACCAGCAAGGGGGCGGTGGTTGCTTCCTTCCAGATCGGAGCGCTCATTGGGGCCTTCTCTTGCATGTTTATTGGCGATCGGCTTGGGCGGCGCAAGACCGTATTCTTGGGTTCCATTCTGTCGATCATCGGACAGGTCTTGCAGGTGTCAGCTTATCAGCTGGTGCAATTTGTCATCGGCCGCCTCATCTTAGGCGCTGGGGTGGGCCAGTTCAGTGTCGCGGTCCCCGTGTGGCTGGCGGAATGCTCGGAGGCGAAGAATCGTGGGCAGCATGTCATTCTGACGGGAGTCTTCATGTGTCTGGGGTATGCCCTCTGCAACTGGATCGACTTCGCCTTCACCTTCCTCCCCTACTCGACCCTGCAATGGCGCATTCCCCTGGCGCTGTCGTTTATCCCCTCCTTGATGGTGGCGGGCAGTGTGTTCTTCCTCCCCGAATCCCCTCGGTGGCTGGTCAGCGTCAATCGGGTCAGCGAGGCCACCGCCTCTCTGGCTGCCTACAAGGGGATCGACCCCGACGACGAGGCAATCGCTGCGGAGATCAGCGGTGTACAGTCTTCGCTGGAAACGACCGTCAAGAAGGTTTCGCTGCTGGATATCCTCTTCAATCGCGGCGAGGATCCGGATCGCCTCCTGTACCGCTTCCTCCTCTGCTTCTTCCTGCAGTTCTTCCAGCAGATGTGCGGTGGCAATCTGATCTCCGTGTATGCCTCGACCATCTTCGAGGAGAATCTCAACATGAGCGCCAACCTGGCCAAGATCCTGGCGGCGTGCGCCCTGACCTGGAAGTTCCTCTGCTGCTTTATTGCATTCTATTGCATTGACCGGCTGGGCCGTCGGACGGTCTTTATCATCAGCGGCACGGGCATGTGTGTTTGCATGACGGTGATGGCCATCACCGCTAGCTTTCCCTCGACGAACCAGGGGGCCTCGATTGCGTCGGCGACCTTCATCTTCCTCTTCAACCTGTTCTACCCGATCGGCTTCCTGGGCGGAAACTTCCTGTACTGCACGGAGGTGGCGCCCATCCACCTGCGGACGGCGATGAGCGCGGTGTCCACCGCCAACCACTGGTTGTGGAACTTTGTGGTGGTGATGGTGACCCCCGTGGCGTTGGACACCATTGGCTATCGCTACTACGTGATGTATGCGATCATCTCCGCCTGCATCCCCATCTCGGTGGCGCTGTTCTACCCGGAGACCATGAACCGCAACCTAGAACTGCTCGACCATGCCTTTCGCGATGCGCCCACCCCGTGGAAGATCGTGTCAATGGCCCGCAAGTTGCCTCAAGGTGAGGTGACCGAAGCCGACCTTTACCAGCACGACAAGCACGAGAAGGAGCAATCGGAGGGATCTTTCGAACAGAAGGAACATGTTTAAGAGCAACGGAACCTTGACTACGACGCGGTTATGATAGACTAGCAATGACCCCTTTGCTCTTCTGTGTATATTGGCTTTTTTTTTTCTGGCATTGGGATTCTTGAGTATGTACATATGAGGATGATTGTGGGGGGCGGGGATGGGTAAGTGGGTATGAGCAGGAATGAAAGCTGCGCGCGCTGGACTAAATCAAATCTCACTTTCGAGGCCAATCTGACGTCCATCTGACCAGGTTAGAGGGAGGGTGACCGAAGGATTAATAATGTAAAACCGGGTTGAGGCCAATTCCACGACCGGGTGGAGATTTTGTGGAGGGCGGAGTTGAACAGCTCCGTGGGGGTGGTTTGGTTAGGGTTGCCAGGTAACTTGGGCGAGACTTGGCAAGACTACACCGAATATCCTGTTTGGCTCTAACTCCAAGGTAAGTTAGTTACTGGTATTAGGTAGTTAATTTACATGTCAATTAAGTCAGGTCAGATGCCAATTCTCTCATCCCATTTCAGATGCTCACGGGATGTTTTCCATTTCCTCACTCCACCCTGCACAGGGTTCCAGTTCTGGACCCCTTACGTACCCCGTAAAGTGAGTACATACCTAGGTACGGATCTGGGTCCTGTGCCCGGCCGTAGTCTCGCATTCACCCAGCATTCTAATTTCAATGGTTGGGTAACCTTGCTTTCCCCTACTAGTGACATGCTTCCTGGCTTCTTGTTAGTCGGTTAATTAATCTTTCCCCGACCGACTTTAATGCGCTCCGTCCATCATTTCCGATCAGCATGAAGCCTGCCTCCCCCACTGCTGCTACTGCTGCTACTGCTGCTACTGCTGCTACTGCTGCTACTGCTGCTACTGCTGCTGCTGCTACCACGACAGCCACGACTACGCCATCCGATGTGGAAGGCAACTGGCCGACGCCGGCCCCTCGGGCCAAGCGGCGCAAGCGGGCCTCGACAACGGGGTCGTCGCGGCCCTCCCCCCGCGAGCTTGGCATCATGCGTAAGGATGATACTTCCGCTAGCTTTCTCGGGAGTTCGAGTGGCATTCACTTTGTCCGCACTGTCTATCACGCTTTTGCTCGCCGCTCCGCCGACCTGCAGCAGCAGCAGCAGCAGCAGCAGGTTCGTGCCGGCCATGAGAGCCTGGTGCCCGGGGAGGATGACCACCTCCGCACCGGTCAAGGCCAGGCCCACGCCCCCCTGTGGTCGACTGATGAGCTCGATCTGACCACCCCCAGACTCTCGTTCGACCAATTGGTGCAACTGTCGCATCAATATTTCCAGAACTGGCACCCCGTCTACCCCTTTATCCATGCTCCCCATCTCCTTCGTGCCCTGGAGCAGACAAGCCAAGAAGGGATTCAGTCCATTAGCCGGACGGATGCCGTGCTCATCCGCTCCGTTATGTCTATCGCCGCAATTGACACCCGACAGGCACCGGGGGGAGCATCAGCCGCACCGGTGGTTATGCCGGCCGAGCTGGTCTTCCAGACGGTGCACGACGCCATGAATGGTCTACGCGATTTGCTGGACGAACCCTCGTCCATCCCCTTGTTGCAGGCAGCCGTCAGTATCCAGTTGTTTCTGACCTCCATTCTACGCCTCAATGCGGCGTCGCGGATTGGAGGCTTTGTGACCCGCACCGCGTTCCATCTGGGTCTACATCGCTGTCCGGCGCGGTATTCGTGCTTCAGCCCGGAAGATGTGCTGATCCGTCGTCGGCTGTTCTGGTCGATCTACTGTCTCGAGCGATACTTGAATCAAGCCCTTGGGGTGCCCCTGAGCATTCGGGATGACGACTTGGATGTATGCTATCCCGGAGCCGAACGCCATACGCCGGACAACGGTGGAGAAGTGACGATGGGTACGACGCCGGACGACCAGCGGCTCAAGCTCCTGCGCCACCTGGCCAAGTTCGCTCGTCTCCGGGGGCTGATCTCGGAGCTACGCAACAAATCCATTATGCACAGTCGGGAGAATCTGGTGGAGGCAGCGGCGGTTGATCGGGCTCTTCTGCAGTGGTGGAATGAGGTGTACGATGATGTCTATCCGCTGGCATGCGACGGAGAGCCGGCTGAGGCATCGTCCCCGTTGCAGCCCTTCCATGCCCTCCTGCTGGTGGTTTCGCGCCACGAGGCCAAGATTGCGCTGCACCGCCCGTTACTGGCCGCCGACAATCCGACCACCGCCGATTACAAAGCGGCCTTTCTCACCTGCATCAATTCCTCCCGGTCGTTGCTGGCCGCCTTGCATGGCTACATCACGGCTCCCCCCGGCGACAACCGTCCTCCGCTGATCGTCGCCTCCTTCACCTGGACGGTGTGGATGTCGTGTCTGATCCTGATCTACGCCGCCTGGACCCGCCACTTCTCTAATGAGGGTGCTCTCCGCTACGCGCGCATCGGGATCGCTGTACTGCAGAACATTGCCCGCCGGGAACGCGAGTGGCCGCAAACCTGCATTCAAGCCATTGAGGATCTGTGCTCTGCTCTCGAGAACAACAACCACCACCACCACAACCGGACCGGCAGCGACTTACGAGTGCCGCAAGTGGAGAGTATGTATAGTGCGAATAATCATAGTACCGGCGACCGTCCCGATGCTATCCGCATTGCCGAGGATCCGATCGGACTCCGCGGGGAAGATTCCTCGCCCCGGCCCAGCAGGCCCAGCAGGCCCAGCAGGCCCAGCAGCATGGCCCCCGAAGCCTGGGACAATCTTCCGATGCCGCCGCCGCCCTCATTCGATCCTACTGCCGTGCTCTCCACTCCTGATCTCTACAATGCCGCAAGTATGGTGTTTGGCGATCTGGCCGGCTCCGGATTTTCCTACGGTATGGGCGGGCTGGGTCTGGGCCCGGAGTCGGCGACTGCCGTCCCTTTCCAGTCTGACCCATTCTTGATGAACGAAGGCTGGAGTGTGGCGGATGGGCCTTGGTTGCTGCATGGTGATTTCAATGTGTGATCTGGTGGAGTGACTGGCAAGTGAATGGACAATACAAACCGGACAAAGAAACCTCCGCGATCGGGCCGGAGCAAAACTCCTCCGCCGCCACTAACCAAGTTAAATGCTGACTCATACCATCTTCCCCCTCCATCTCCCCACTCACGTGATTATCCCAGCCGCAGCCAGAGAGCAACGCAACGGAACGAGGAACAACTACTTCCACCGATCGCATTTCACCAATACTTATCGCATTGGCTGGTGGAGTATGTGTCTTGGGTTCTCGTCCGTTTCTTAATACATATAGTATCCATCCTCCTTCATTACCTCCCTGCCCGCACTTGCAACCCCAGACTTTACATGTCCAACGTCCACAATGATCCCCGACGAGACCATCGATCGCCTCTTGGCCCACGTCCGCCCCCACATCCAACGCCATGTTGACCAGCAGGCTGCAGACCCCAGTCAACGGAAACCCTTCATCCTGGCCCTGACCGGTCTACAGGGCAGCGGCAAGACCACCTGGACCTCCGCCCTTGTGCGGTCGCTGAACGAGAAACACCACTTCCGCACCATCAACGTCTCTCTCGACGACTTCTACCTGCCGCACGAGGGCCTGGTGCGCCTGCGCCAGTCTAACCCGGCCAATGCCCTGCTCCAGATGCGCGGCCAGCCCGGCACCCACGACACCGCGCTGGTCCGCGAGTTCTTCGACACCTTGACCGTGACCACAGAAACTTCGCCGCGGGTGGTCTGCATCCCCGAATTCGACAAGAGCCGCTTCCACGGCGAGGGCGACCGCGTGCCCCGCGACGAGTGGAGCCACGTCCCTGTCTCGCTGGACTCGCCGGTGGACGTGCTGGTGCTGGAGGGGTGGTGTGTGGGCTTCCAACCGCTGAGTGAAGAGGCCATCGAGGCCAAGTGGACGGCGGTCAAGGCGCATCCCCCGGAGTCGGGGGCGGCGGACTCGGACTCCGGATTCCCCACGCAAACCCTGCAGAACCACGAGCTGTCCAGCTATTTCACTATCAACGCCAGCCTGCGCAACTACTGCGACATGTTCATGGGGCCCCACCACCTGGACTTCCTGGTGCATCTCGACACCGACGATCTGGCCAACGTCTACCGCTGGCGCATGCAGCAGGAACATGCCTTGCGGCGGGTGAAGAATCAGGGCATGACGGACGAGGAGGTTGTGGCCTTCGTTAAGGGGTACATGCCGGCCTACGAGCTGTATCTGGATCAAGTGCGCGAGGGCATCTTCCGGGGATTGTCGGAGGAGGAGCGTGCGCGCAAGGGCCAGGCGAGAGTGGTTCTGGGGCAAGATCGGACGGTCCTGGATATTGTTGGTTATAGCTAGACTGTGCGGGACCAATCCCTCGGGACCTCGCTGGTTGAAGTCCCCAGGCAACAACGAGATACGAATATGAATATGTATATGTACAAGACTGCCTCTGAATCCCCTGGTGCCTGACGGCTCAGGCATCAAGCCTCGCTTCACCTCGGCAATGACGTAAGAATATCAGTTAGTGCCGAAGATCGGAAGTTGGAGGGCTGCCACCACCCCCGGCATTGATTTCCGGCATTGTCGCGAGGCGCCAGTCGACATCGCACGGCATCGATGGCCAAATGCGCGGCACGTATATCGATGCGACTTCATTATGGCCCAGCCTGGTGCAATCGATGTCGTCAAACTGCTCCGAATTGGTTGCCGAGTTGCGCCTCCGAGGACCCCTGCGAGCAGTCCCGCAGCACCGGCACTTGCACTCTCTCCGACCGGCGCGAGAGCAGGACCTTCCGCAGGATCTGATTCGCGTCCGACGCGCCCTCCTCGCTGGTTTCTAGATCGTTCAGCTCGGGGACGACCAGCGATGCGCGCTGCGCGGTGGATGTCACGCCGGCCTGCTGGGACTCGGCGAACGGGGGGCTGGCGGGACTCCGATGGAAGGGGAACGAGGGGGGAAAGGAGTGCCGGAAGAGCTGGTGGGAGGATGTACTGGAGCGCTGCGTGTCGCGGCCTCCGCGTCGAGTGATCAGGATATGGATCGCGGGGATACACGAGCAGATGAGGGCGAATCCGCCTTCCGCATTACTGCTTGGCATTAGCTCAACCCCGACTGGGTGGTGCAAGGTAGGAAAACCTACCCCGACAGTAAGATCTTCAAGTATACGATGGTTGACTCCAGGTTATCCTCCTCGTGGATGACCAGCACGAGGCGGTAGATGCTGAACCCGATCGCCAGCCCGCCGCAGCCCATCATCAGCGAGACCTTGAGCTTCTTGACGTGCGAGAGGTGCAGCGTGATGGTCAGGAAGGCCGGGAGCAGCATGATGGCCAGATCCGTGGCGATGCTCATCACCGCGTCGGCGAGGATCACGGCCGTTTTATTTAGGCACTGCGCTTCCTCGTCGTAGTGGGTCCAGAAGTACGAGACCGGCAGGCAGATGAAGACCTTGATGAAGAAGATGATCGTGTAGTAGATCACCGTCACCACCAGCACCGAGTACACGCTGATGACGTGCACGTGGCGGATGGTGAAGATGCGCGCTAGGATGGAGAGCAGGGTTATCTTGACGGTGAGGACCATCGGGGCGTAGATTACGGTCAGAACATAGTAAAACTGCGGACGAGAGAGTCAGTGGAGGAGTATTTGCATTGGGGTGGCCCTGGCCACGGTGCTTGCCTTGTAGACGAGTCGGATCTGGTAGGGGGTCAGCAGGGCAAGGGGTTTGCCGCCGCCATAATGGAGGTCTGCGGTAGTCTAGTTAGTGGACATGACTCCACAGCGGCAGTGAATTGGAGACTTACAGAAGATGTTGCAGATGCAATAGGTGAAGAACAGGACCTGAAGCACAATGTTAGAGGAGAGCAGCCATCGGGCGGCGGGTAGTGGGAGTCTACCCAGGATAGAGTGCAAAATGCTGGTATACAATCATTAGATTTGGTAGACGGCCAGAAAAAGAGATGTCACAAACCGTCCTCAATATTCAAATCTCGCTTGATCCGGGAAGCAACCAGCAGGCGCAGGGCCAGGCAGAGGGTGGTGATGCTGCAGCACAGGATCTGCGTCACCAAGCTGATGGTGCGCAGATATTGATCGTGGACCGGGATCATTGGGGTGAGCAGCGGTCAGCATTGCGGTCCAGCGCGACGAGACAAGGGATTCGTCTAGAAATGAAGGGATTGAAGCTGGGCTTGGAGTTCTGCAAGAATGAGGTATGCGGAATGCAGGGGAGGCAAAATGTGGAGAAGAGAATTGGTGAAGTTGGGGCTTGGCTTCCGACGTCATGGGATGCCGCGAGGTTCCATGGTCCACCTCAGCCCGACCATCAAACATTATCGGATGTTCACCCAGGTGAAGATTTCGGATTTGCGGGCGCATTTGCCATGTATGCGACGAGTTTGACCCGATAGCAAAGTAGGGTTGGTATGCAGCTACCCTAACGCCGCCAAACAAGTCGATCGGCGCATGGTTGAAACATACTTACAGGATGAAAAGGACAAAGAGAGAAGAATTTATTTCAGATCAAAGGTTAAATAAAGCATAAATATTCGCCAACACATGGGTCTCACAACTGGAAACGAAAGTCCGGATGAGCATCGCCCAGATCCTGCATGCTCTCCGACTGCCAGTCCTGCTCCGGCTGACTTTCCCGGCGGCGATTTTCGGCGCGGAGAGCGAAGAAATACACGGTGCAGGCCAGTCCTGCCACCACTGCGAATGCCAGACCAACCCCAAAGCCAGTAGGGTACTTGGGCGCTTCGCTGGTGATGAAGACGTTGCCGGATACAAAGGCACCACAGTTACCGAACGCGGGCAGCAAGCCCATTCCGACGCTGCGCTTGACGCCCTTGCCGAGGTTGATACACAACCACACCACGGTGATAGACATCATGATGAACGCGCCCGATGCCACGAAGAACATGCCCATGTAACGGACTCCAGCAGAGGGGACCTGCGCAAGCTCGATACTCCAGCCGATTATGACCAGCGCCGATCCGAACAGCGTGAAGAGATAGCGGTGGCGGAGATAGTCGCTCAGCCACGCGCTTGACAAGGTAAGCACGAAGGCGACTGCATAGACAGGAATGCTGTGCTCTTGCGCTGAGCGACTGGTCCAGCCGAGGTCCTTGAGAATGGTGGGCTGGAAGTACACCATCGAGCTGGCACTTTCTTCGGCGGCGAGGTAGGCCAAAACACTGGTCTCCATGTCAGTGCATAGTTCGACTCCTAGACGTAGCAGACATGCTCACCAGATCCAGATCTTCCAGTCCATCGCCATCTTCAGGACCCGAGGGAGAGAGATAGGATCATCACGAATGCTTCCTCCATCGGCCTCCAGACGGGCAAGCAGCAGTTCCTTCTCCGCAGGGGTCAAGAATGTCGCGTCCTCGGGGAAGGGAACAACGATCCAGTAGCAAATAATGCTGACGCCCATGGTGATGATTGATTCGATCAGGAAGAGCCTAGTCTTGCGTCAGAAAACAGTATATGCCCGCCGAGGTCAAGGGATCCATACCATCTCCATCCCGCATATCCGTCCAACTCCAAGTGCGTCAAGAGACTTGAGAAGAGCTAACGAGCCAGTCAGACAGACGTGTCGAGAGTAAGCATGATAGAAACTGACCCCATTGAACGCTCCTGCCGCCATGTTGGCACTGAAGAAGATTGCGTATCGACGCAGGAACTCGTCCCGCTTGTAGTAACTTCCGATCAGGTAAGCGCAGCCTGGCATTGGAAGGTCAGATTAGGCTTCATGCACCACTGCCAGCTTGGCATAGTATGAACGAACCAGGAACGAAGCCTGCCTCACACATCCCCATGAAAAACCGACACGCGATCAGGCCCGTCGCAGTCTTGGTGAGACCCTGTCCCATCACAAACAGCCCTGTTGACCCACCAAGTCAGCATACTCCTTTTCTCCCGACTGCGATTGCTCTCACCCCAAGTAAACATGTATAGGACCAGCATCCTTGGGCCAAACTTCTTGACCAGCAGGTTGGCCGGCATGCCAAAGACGACGTATGCGACCGTGAACATGGTCACGGCGAGGTTGTACTCATTTCCCACCAGGTGCAGCTCCTTGGCCATGCCGGCGATCTTCGCGTTTCTACATCAAACCACATGGTTAAGGCTCGGTCCATCGACATCAAGTGGAAGGGAGCTGAACACTCACGCAATGTTGGAACGATCCATGAATGACACCAAAAAGAGAAACCATAGTGCTGGGATGACTCGCCAGTCCAGCTTTCGCAGCAACTTCTTCTCCAAAGCGGGATCAAAGTCTGGCGTTGACGCCTCAACCACGCGGGGCTCGATCTCTTGCTTCTCCATGACTGTAGCCTTGCAAAGTAACGGTCGGCAGAAAGAGTGGAACTATAAGAGAAAGCAACCACCCATGCACGTGGCGCGACATGGTCAGCTTTTGTAGATGAAACTCAGGTCGGAATTTCCGAGTTGTCAGGGGTGGCAAGGGAGGGTTTAGGTCAAGCCATTATGAAGTGACTAGTTGAACAACCTCCGGCTGATTAATTGCAGGCCAGACTTCTTTCCATCGTCTCATTGATGAAGGTGTGGCCTGCAACTACCGGTACTCATGGGTGTGTTCAGCGTTGGACCCGCGGCAATATATCTTGACGGACTCAAAAGACCCTAAGCATGATAGTCAGCCCTAGTGGCTCCATTCCGAGCACTCGGCCCGGTAGGATAATTAAGAATGGATGCACGAACACTACCATTTGTCGGGGAGTTTACCCAAGCCCCACCAAGTAAGTGAAGTAGTCTATACTAGGTGATTAGGTGCAGGGTCATTGACCACATAGGGTTCTTGCACGGAGACCCTCAGCGCGGAAATCGTCCGGACTCCCCCCGTCCCGTCCACCCCCTCCTCCCTCCGATGTCCTTTCTCCCTCCAGACCCACACCTCAATATTATAGTGCAACAGGGAAAATCTCTTCCAGCCATTGCGCTGCCATAGCACACGGTTTGGGCCGAATGTCGTCCACTCGAGTTAGTCTTCATCATCTGCATCATATGCTTCAACAAAGCAGAAAATAGTTGTGATCTGTCCCCAATGTCGAATGGGAGGTTATCGGCCGACTGCACATAGAAACCTGAGACGTCTGCGTGGCATTAGTGTAGAGGGGTAGACCCGATCTTAAATGACACCCAATGGTGCAATTTGACTGGTCTCCATGCGTGACAACCAATCGTTCTTGATCTTTGCTCCACAAGGGGGTGACCAAATACCGGCACGCAGTAGGTAGCCATGTACTCAGTAAGTTAGTCTTCCATGTCCGGAGTAACATCGCTGAGGAAAACGGACCCGTGCCGAGACGGTACTAGGTAGTTAGGTACAGATCTTGCAAAAAGATGATTTGCGTACTGAGCCGCCAGCCCTGTCTTCACCATACAAGTTGAATCCTTCGATCCCTTTTCTAGGGTCACAACAGGGACTTTACATGACGAGGTCCTGCCCATTCTCGTTCCTTTCCTTTGTAGCATGCTACTGGAAGAAAGACAAATAGCAACGTTATGATCGAGCATGATGCCAATATCCCGGACAAAGGTCCCCTATTCATCAGGGTTACCGGGGCTTTGACCGCGATTGCATTCATCTTGGTCGCCCATAGGGTGCTATGGAAGGTGTACAGACAAACTGCCATCTCTGCAGATGATGTGATCATCCAGGTTTCGATGGTATGGTTCGCATTGCAAATGAATAGAGCCTCTACTCACAGGAGAACCAGATCATACAGATTGTGAATACCGTTATGGGCGACTTGGGTAGGGCGCACCTTCCTAACCGTTGAACATTGAAGTGACCGCCAATGCTGACTGTGTTCTACCATGCAGCGTGCCACTATGCATTTGGTCGTCATCGCGCTGACATTGTACGGTCAGGGGGCAATTTGGTACTTGCGCTGAAGGTTTGCTCCATGGTTCTCTCCAATGTTTAAGAGGATGCTAACTTGAGCCTCGTAACGCAGTCTTTCTGGCTCTTCCAAATCCTCTACAAGACCGTCCTCTGTCTCAACAAGCTCAGCTTCCTGGCTTTTTACCTGCGAATCTTTCCCACGCGACCCTTCCGTATTATCTGCTGGGTGACCATCGGTCTCGTCATTTCCAGCACCTTCGGATTTGTGCTCGCGACGATCTTCCAGTGCATCCCGGTCCATGCTAGCTGGCACAAGAACATCCCCAAGAAGTGTGTGGACAACGCGAGCTTCCGATGGTCGTGGGCGGGCTACAACACGGCGATGGACATTTGGGTCTGCATGCTACCACTGCCGGTTCTCGCGCAGCTGCATCTCGACCGCATCCGCAAGGTCGGTGTGATGCTCGTGTTCTGCATGGGCTTGTTCGTGTGCATCACCAGTATCATTCGGATGTGGGCAATGGAGGCGAGCACCACGACGCAGGACCCGACCTGGGGCTCGTTTGATGCCCTGCTGTGGAGTGCCATCGAGGCGAGTACGGGGATTATTTGCGCTTGCTTACCGTTCCTGAAGCACTCTGCCCAGAAGCTGGTTCCCAGTTGGTTTGTCTCGCTGTCGAATGGATCACGCAAGTCGCGCAGTCGAGCCACCAGGACCAGGACGGGGCGGAGCTATCGTATGAGTCGGTTGGAGTCCCAGGAAGGCACGCAGCTCGGCCAAGAATGGCGGGTGGAGAGACACGATCCTGATGCGGATGCTGAGAGCGTGGGGAGCCAGGGGGCTATTGCCAAAGGCCAGATCATTCTCACTACCGCAATTGACATGCACAGTGAACCGGCACCGAAATAACGACCGGTACTATAGAGACTCGCCAGAACATAGTCCAGATGCTTGTAGGAATTCTTGATCCGAGATCCTTTGCCTGTTTCCTTTTCTTTTTAGCGTTTTCTGACTTCTTACCACCTTCCATTTGTAACGAGACACTCGTGCTGTTATTGCCACGGGGGTACTTTAGTAGCCCAAGTTAAGGCCTAGGTGGCATATTCACCGAACAGCAAATTGTGGTGGACATTGAGTGTCTCAGAAGGCATTCGATAGCGCAATGGGGAGGGTGGATCGGGGTGGGGAGCGGCCGGGTTAGCCCGGCCTATCGAGCCTATCGAGCCTATCGAGCCCTAAGTGCTTGTTTTGACAGGGGGTTCAAACCACCATCTCTTCCCTAGCGCTGCCATGGCCTGATCCGTCGGGGTTCCACTCGGCTAAAGGGTCAATTTCATTCCCTCAATGGTTATTCACAGTTAGAAATCCAGGCCTGCTATCAGTGGGGCTCTGCGATATATCCCCGGGTGGAAGGTATTTCGCATTTGCCGAACGCTGTTAGCAGGGATAAGAGGCATTGAGGGACAGGCTGAAGCCCAGGACAAAGACAAGCAGCAAGAAAGCATCATTTTTTTCTTTCCAGAGATGCTTAGTACCAACATGTCTCAGAATCACCGAGCAGAAAATCGAGCTGACCCGACCGTGGCGGATGAGCTGTTAGAAGCTCTGGCTCAGGTAGTGCATCTCCACCAAGGGTGCAATTGACACCGCACTGACATCGACCAGGCAGGCGTAGATTACCTCTTCACCGTGCTGGGATCTGACCACCCCAGCATCATCGAGGCCTACGTGCGCCGACAGAATGATCCCACACGGCAGTATCCCAAGATGATTCTGTTTCAGCATGAGGTCAGCCACTGTCTCCCACTGACAAAAGATCCCGTGTCTGTACTAACGGGCCAACCATCAGTTTGTCGCGATGTCAGCGGCCGATGGGTATGCACGAATCAGTCACCGGCCAGCGTGTGTGATTGCCCACGTTGATGTGGGGACGGCAGCTCTGGGCCAGGGGCTGCACAATGCATCCAGCGGACGAGCCCCCGTGGTGATTCTGGCAGGGATTGCCCCGTCCACCTTTCTCGGGGAGGCTCCGGGCTCGCGATCGGAGCATGTGCAGTGGTACCAAGATATTCGCGATCAGGCTGCCCTCGTGGCGCCGTACAGCCGCTACAGTGCCGAGATCAAGTCCCCGCACAATGTGTCCACCGTGGTGCATCGCGCAGTGCTCATGGCCACGACGGGCTCCCCCGGGCCTGTCTATCTAACGGCAACACGGGAGATTCTTGCCACTGCGCTGCCTTCTGGCGACCATGCTCTGCGGCCCAAGGCCGTACCAACGTGTCTCCTGGGCTCCCTGCCTTCCGAGCAAGTGGAGGTAATCAGTACAGCGCTGCTCAATGCGCAAGCCCCGCTGGTGATCGCCGGGTACCTGGGTCGCAATCATCGTGCCGTCCAAGAGCTGGTCCACTTGGCTGACATGATCTCCGGCCTGCGGGTGTTTGACTCGGAGCTCCGTGAGATGAGCTTCCCAGCCACCCATCCTGCCTGTGTGACGCGAGGGACGGGGGCAGCTCCCGCCGTGCAATCGGCCGACGTGATTCTCGTCCTGGACGCTGATGTGCCGTGGATTCCCACGCGTGTGCGCCCTTCTCCCACCGCCCAGATCATCCACATCGACCTTGATCCGCGCAAAGAACGCATGAATATTTTCGATATCAATGCGTCTCTCACCTTCCACGCGGACACGGCGGCGGCCTTGAGCCAGCTTACTGCTTATTTATCTACCTCCCCTCGGTTGCCCGAGTTGCAAGGCAGTGAAAGCTGGCAAGCGCGTGGGAAGACCATGAAGGCATCGTACGACCAGGGCCAGGCACAGATCGACGCCCGTGCGACCGCACTGTTGTCGACGCCGGATGCGCCCTGCAGTGTAGACTATTTGTGTAGTCGCGTCCGCGCACTGCTACCCCAGGAGACGATCTTTGTGACCGACTCGGTCACCAACCAGGTAGCCATGACGGAGCAGCTCCGCCTGCACCGACTGGGCTCGCATCTCACCAAGGGCGGCAGCGGATTGGGCTGGGCGGGCGGCGCTGCAATCGGGGTGCAGCTGGCCGCGGCACGGTACGATCTGTCCAACCGACCGGTGGTGCAGCAGAAGGCTGAGGGGCCTTCGTCGTCACAGACCCGTCCCTTGGTGTGCAGCATCACGGGTGATGGAAGCTTTGTGTTCTCGGTTCCGACCGCGGTCTTCTGGGCCAGTCACCGCTATCAGTGCCCCTTTCTGACTATCATCTTGAACAATGGAGGGTGGAATGCCACCAGTCAATGCTTGAAGGATGTACACCCGACCGGTGTTGCGGCTGGGCTGTCGAAGGAAGAGCTGGGAATTTCCCTCGTCGCGGATGGGCCTGATTATGGGGGCATTGCTGAGGCTGCAGCTAACGGAAATCTATGGGCGAAGCGGGTGGAGTGTGTAGACCAGCTGGATGAAGCTCTCACTACAGCGATTAGGGTTGTGGTGGAGGAGGCCAAGTCGGCGGTGCTGGATGTCATCATCCGTTAGATTCTTGCGCAGTCAACGTTGCCATGAAGCATTTTCAAAGACTCATTGCCCATCATGACCACACGTAATGACAGTGCGAGGATAAATTCCCCGGAAAGCTATAAAGAAGCCAGGGGGACAGGACAAAGCAGTAGCAAGCCATTGTTGGCTGGTGCATCTTGCGCAACCCGAGCACAACAAAGGGCAATGAGATCTGACCCACTATAAATAGACCCGATCTAGATCGGGAATGATCCGCCAAGTACCAGGCATATGAAGCATACCAAGCACTCCACCACTTTCCAAGATGGGCTACCGCATGGACTCATGGAAGGGAGAGACCCTGTGTGGCACTCGCGTCCGGGTTGGACGCAATTCGGATCAAACCGCGACCATTGGAGGTACTGTGATGATCGATGGCGAGTACTATGCACTGACCGTTCTGCATCCCTTTCTGAAACCTTCTTCCAACCAGCACCGAAAGCGTTGGGCCTCGTTCCGGTCCCGCGCGATGTACGCCATGGACAGCGAGGAGCCCCACGCGGTGGCCTATCTGCCTCACTACAGAGGGACCAGGAAGTTGAACCCGGGCTTCTGGTCGGTGCGACAGAACTGGGCTCTGTTTCGATTGTGTGATCAAACGCCCCGGTCCAATTGTGTCACAGTCGGGGGATGGCAAGTGCTCTCACCATCCAAGGTCACCAGAAGCTCGCCCCGCGGTCAGCTGTGGTGCTTGCTGGGGAACGGCGCTCGCCCCCCGGTCAGAACCGACGTGTCTGGACGGTTGAGTAGCCTGTCCATCGCAGCCACCGACTTCCCGGTAGCGTATCACTTGAGTATGGTTTCCTTTGCGGAGGATGTTGGAGCCTGGGTGGTGGATGGAGGGGACAATGGCTCCCTGTTTGCCATGCTTGTGGCCCAGGATGACCAGGACTTCACCACCTACGCCATCAGTGCGGCGGATATCTTCGATGAGTTGCAGAGGCGATTTCCAAACACCTCGATAGCGATCGCCTAGGACTTTGGTGTTATATATGCTTATGGGGGCGGGCTTGATATATTTATATTTCTATTTGATGGATTTGATGTACTCCGTATATACTCGAGAAAGTGAAAAGTTAAGTTACACTCAAAGTTATAACTACACAATTGCACTCAATCCCACACTAGTACCAATCAAGTTAAAACACCTTTAGTTATCGCAATGAGTCATGCGCCTGATAGCGGCCTCAGGCAGCACCACGTGACCATACGGTGCTTAGAAATGCTGTGGCGCGACTGGCTGGGATTACCCCGGATCACGTGCGGTGACTCGGGGCTTCTCGCCTTCGCATTGTCCGCCTGCGAGATCGGCGCCAGGAGAAAATGGGAAAAATCTTGAGGTGACTCAATCCTTCTTTTTTCCCCCCATCACCTCCACCTCCTCTCTCTCGTGTTCAATCGATACCCATTGAACTATAGAGACCATGGCGAGGCAGCTCTGCAATTTGCTCCGCCGGCCGGTGAGTCGCTAGACCTTCCTTGATCTTTCCAAATTCCCCATCTGATGTGATTTCACCCAGCTTCGGCTTCGGTCTACTCCGTCACTCGGGGCTTCCAGCAGGAGAATTGCCCTCCTCCCACGATCCATCGCCACATCCCTCCCCCCTCGCTCCATTCGCGCCCTCAGCACGACCTCGATTGCCAGGGCCCAAGGCTTTCACTCGCAGCAAGAGCAGGCCCCCTCGACCACTCCCTCCGAGACCCGCACGCCGCAGACCCTGACGGAGAAGATCGTGCAACGCTATGCCGTCGGTCTCCCCCCCGGGAAGTTCGTTCGCAGTGGCGACTATATCAGTTTGGCGCCCGGATACTGCATGACGCATGACAACTCGTGGCCTGTGGCTCTCAAGTTCATGTCCATGGGAGCCACCAAGGTGCACAGCCCGAAGCAGATCGTCATGACCCTCGACCACGACGTCCAGAACACCAGCCCCCAGAATTTGAAGAAGTATCAGCAAATCGAGGAGTTTGCGGGCAAACACGGCATCGACTTTTATCCTGCAGGACGGGGTATTGGACACCAGGTGATGGTGGAGGAAGGGTACGCGTGGCCCGGCACCATGGCAGTCGCCTCCGACAGTCACAGCAACCACTACGGTGGTGTCGGCTGCTTGGGCACCGCCGTGGTTCGCACCGACGCGGCCAGTATCTGGGCGACCTCGCGCACCTGGTGGCAGATTCCCCCGGTGGCCAAGGTCACCTTTACTGGCACGCTCCCCGTGGGCGTGACCGGTAAGGACGTGATCGTCGCGCTGTGCGGTCTCTTCAAGAGCGACGTCCTGAACCACGCCATTGAGTTCACCGGTTCCGAGGAGACCATGGCCAGCCTGCTCGTCGACAGCCGCCTGACGATCGCCAACATGACCACCGAGTGGGGCGCGCTCACCGGTCTCTTCCCCATCGACACCACCCTCAAGCGCTGGCTCCGGTATAAGGCGACCGTCGCTGCCCTGTCTGATGACCGTTCTACTCGCGAGCGCATCACGCACGAGAGAATCGAGGAGCTGTTCGCCAACCCCCTCACCGCCGACCCCGATGCTCAATATGCTAAGCAGCTGTACCTCAACCTCTCCACCCTCTCTCCCTATGTCTCTGGCCCCAACTCCGTCAAGGTCGCCACCCCCCTGGCTGAGCTGGCCGCCAAGAACATCAAGGTCAACCGCGCCTACGTCGTCTCCTGCACCAACTCCCGCGCCTCGGATATCGCCGCCGCCGCGCAAGTCTTCCGCACCGCGGCCAAGGCGAACGGCGACGTCACCTCCAAGATCGCCGACGGCGTGAAGTTCTACATCGCGGCCGCCTCCGCTCCTGAGCAGGAGGCTGCCGAATCCACCGGCGACTGGCAGATCCTACTCGAGGCCGGCGCGCAGCCGCTTCCCGCCGGGTGCGGTCCGTGCATTGGCCTCGGAACCGGTCTGCTGGAGCCCGGCGAGGTGGGCATTAGTGCCAGTAACCGCAACTTCAAGGGTCGCATGGGCTCGCGTGACGCGCAGGCCTATCTGGCCAGCCCCGAGGTCGTCGCCGCCAGTGCCCTCAGCGGCATGATCTCCGGCCCCGGCACCTTCCAGGTGCCCCCGGAGGAGTGGCTGGGGGTGGACCACGGCTTCGGCACCGGTGCGGAGCCCACCACTGAGCAGCAGCTCACCAACCTCCTGGAGCAGATGGAGTCCTTCATTGACCGGGTGGAGACCGCCCAGGGCTCGACGGAGAAGGCGGCCACCGAGATCCTGCCCGGTTTCCCCGAGCGCATCAGCGGCGAGATCGTCTTCTGCGATGCCGACAACCTCGACACCGACAGCATCTACCCCGGCAAGCTCACCTATCAGGACAACGTCTCGAAGGAGGACATGGCCCGTGCCTGCATGATGAATTACGACCCCGAGTTCAAGGACGTCGCCAAGCCCAGCGACATCCTCGTCGCCGGCTTCAACTTCGGCTGCGGCTCCTCCCGCGAGCAGGCCGCCACCGCCATCCTGGCCAAGCAGATCCCGCTCGTCGTCGCTGGTAGCTTCGGCAACATCTTCTCCCGCAACAGTATCAATAACGCCCTGATGGGTCTCGAGGTGCCCCGCCTCGTCGAGCGCCTCCGCGCCACCTTCGCTCAGCCGGCCGGTGCGGAGCGCCAGCCCACCCGCCGCACTGGCTGGACCTTAACGTGGGACGTCAAGCGCAGCCAGGTCGAGGTGCAGGAGGGCGAGGGCGGCGAGAGCTGGACGGAGCCGGTGGGCGAGCTGCCCGCCAACGTGCAGGCGATCATCGCCGCTGGCGGTCTGGAGGCCTGGGTTAAGGGCGAGGTCGCTAAGGCGGCGTAAAGGTAAAACTCTAGACGCGAAGAAGAAAAGACTGATTAGACGTTTGTGTTGGAAGCATGTACATATCCTTAGCGCTATCTGAATTCACTGTATCACTACGAGAGGCTACGTTGCGTGGTCAGTACTGTATATTCACGGCCGCTATTTGTCTCCCTCTTCCCACGGCACCCTCCTCGGATTCGACGTATTGAGATACCAGACCTGATGCCCACCGACGTCCGAGCACTCCGTCTGGACCTGCCCGCCTGCTTGGTTGGATAGCCAATCTGAGGCGCCTTGCAGGGTGGCGATCGACCCCAGCAGGTGCTCATCCTGCTGCAGACCGAGCAGCTCCTCGACGATTCTGTCTTGAGGGTAGGGCAAATCATCGAGCTGTAGCCGTTGCCCCCTGGTACCATGCTTGATCGAACCCGACATGGATTGGGTCAACTCGAGCTTCAACCCACTGATGGCGAATTCCGCCACCACCAGTCCGTTGTAATACCCTTCTGCGCGGGGAGACGCCCGTAGTGCAGCGATGGCCTGCAGACGAATGCGGTAATCCGGACCTCGCAGCGCCAGGAAGCTCAGGGCAGCGCACAGGATTCCATCGGGGGTAAACTGCGGGCGCGTCCCCAGTCTATCGTTCAGGGCCACAGTCCTCGCCATCAGATCCTCAAATTCCGGGCGTAGTGGGTGTAATGCGGGGTCCCACGGGGCGTGCAGGCAGGTTTTGAGGGATAAAGTGAAAGTGAGCACGCTCAGTTGCACCACGTCTACGGAGCGCCGCTCGCGGTCGGTGAAGTGGGAATACGTTGTCAGTATGTCGTCGAAGTAGGTTCTGAAATGGGTCAGACAGGATAGCAGGCGCTGCTGTTTTGGCTGCAGGACGCCGTATTGGCGTGCGAGGTCGGTCTTGGACAGGCTCCAGCACTGCTCGAGGAGGCGGAAGATGGTTGGCACGAGAGGGTTCAGGGCTTGACGTGCCTGCTCGACGCTCCGAACTGGGCGGAGCTGGGTCTCGAAGGTTTCGAGGCGGGCGAAATGGGCGTCCAGCTTGCGGAAGGGCTGGTGGACTCCGTGGAACGCTGAGTGCGATTCCAGGTAGGAGAAGGCGTCGGAGAGAGTTGGGTCTATGGGTAAAGAAGACGGCGCCCCCTCGTTGAGAATTCTCAGCCCCGCTTGGAGGTGCGTGTTGGCGTCGTCGTAGCGGGCGGACGCCAGCTCGATCAGCACGAAGAGCAGGCAGCAGACCAGAATCACCTGGCGGAGACGTGGATCTTGGGAGGCAGGACGGTGCTTCAGAAGAGTAAATGCGCGCAGCGACTGCTCCAGGGCGAAGTGTTGCCATTTACTACGCAGCGACTGTCCGGGGATTGCAATCCCCGCATCATGCACCTGGTGATTGATGGCACTTAGGGCTACGAGGGCATGGTAGACGGCCGGCTCGACGACGCTCAGTTGGCCGATCAGATTCCGCGGCGAGAATAGGTCCGACACCCCGGAAACGACCACCGAGTCGGGGATGAGATGATGCCAGAGAAAGGAGAGGCATCGTTTCTCGTCGGAGGTGATGGGCCAAGGGAACTGCGCTGCCACTGAGGACAACAGCGTCGCGTGCTGGGCACCATACGTTGCTTTGCCCGGCAAACGAGTGAGATCCGAGCCCTCACAGGGCCAGCCCGCCACTTTACAGTTCTGACATCTCCCTGGCGTCTCGTCGCATTTGATCCGGCGGGCTCTGAGGAGTGACGTTGAGAATAAAGAAAATCTGGCTGGCGACCAATTGCTTACCGACAGGTTCGACAGCCGGTTCTGGAACGAGTGGTTCGCGCTCGTCGACGCCCAGACCTTGCTTGCATGGCTGTGGCTGGCTGGTTCTAGACAGAAGCTGGCAGAAGTGAGGACATCTGGCGTCTTTTGCGAGGATGAGAGACTAGTTGACGCTAAATCCCACTAAACCACGCGACGAAATGCGGGGTTCCTTGCTGTCAGCGACTTTTCTGACACAGCTTGTTCGATTTCTTTCGATGTTCAAAGAGCCAGCGGGCGAGGTTCTGGAGGACCCCTCCTCGTGCACACGGAATGACGGTCTAAGAGCGTCATGGTAACGCCTGTAGCTGCTTCCATGCTGTTTCGTATATCATTATGACCCAGAACAGTTGGAGTCTTGCCATAGTCGTCGCCCACGGCTTATTACCGCGATACACGGGGTGTCGACGGATATTACAATGGCAACTGGAGCCTTATCATTCATGTGGCTATGATCATGCTCTCTAAATCAAGGAATGCTTCGTGACCAAATAGAACAGAGATGCATTTACCGAGATCAATCAATATGAGAGTGCAAGCTGTAGGAACTTGGGCAAACGGTTAAGCAATTGCTTGCACAAACACAAACAACATCCAAAGCGAATCCCAACACTACATTAGCATTGTCGAGTCCCGTTGTCAACAGTGGGCTATGAGGGGGGGCCCTGCCACGGTGCTCTCGTCCAATCCTCAAAGTCATTGTCATCATAAGGGTACCAACCATCATCCGAGTCTGAGTCGTACGAAAAATAATCTCCTGATGGCCGCGGAGGCGGGGCATTCCACTCATCAAGTAGCTTGTTCTGCTCGGGGCTCCAAGGACTCAGTGCGCGCCCTGGGCCTTCCGGTTGGTATTCAACTGCGTGTGAGAGCGACACTCGCTTCTGCGATGCCTCGGCAATGAGCTGGTTCCAAAGGTCGGTTGAATGGCGATATCGCGTATAAAGAGTCGGTAGATACTGTACGTCACCCACGCAATACCTGATGATCGCGTCCAAGAGTGGCCTTTTGTCAAACACACTGTATGAGCCGCCCTTTTGGGGATTCCATAAGGCCTCCCCATTCGTTTTGTCCAGCATCCATTTCTCCCTTTCTCGTGCGTTGAAAAGAGCTTGTTCGATGCATTTGGACAGGCCGGAGAGATACTTCCGCCCAGGGGTATTCGGCCGACCAGCGCTCTCCATGAGCTGAATATCCCGGACACCCTGTAGCCTGACCCCGTAATGAGCATAGAGTGCGTCCGAGTCATTTCGCACGTCGAAGAATGCTTTGATGATCTGTGGCGACTCTAATATGTCTTTGAGACTATTTCCACGCTGTCCGGTCGTGGAGAAGGCTACAGAGCCAAGAGAATGGATGTCTATGACGCGTGGAGACATCAAACCGTGACCGGGACTCACAAGCACGGTCATTAGGGATATTGTACCATGGCGGCTGAGCTTTCTGCCTTCCAGATCTATGTAGAGCAGAGGCTTAAAGTCCCCCATCCAGGTGTCCTGCCGTGCTATGAGATCGACGAGACCCTTGAGCCCGTCTTGAGTGTCGATAAAAGTGGTCTCTTTGGCCATGACGAATGTCGTGCTGCGGTACAAGTTGCTAAATGTCTTTGATCTGGGCGATACCGCTGATGGTTGGCGAGAAGAGAAGTTGAGCGCACAATTTTGTAGTCACAGGCTGAGTCAGATGGACATGACCCCTGTCATCCCCACTCCAATCGGACTCTCGTGCCGAAGGCATGTGCCGTGACACGTCATCACAATGGCGAGACTTGCGTGGATTATGTTTTGGGTGAAGTAAGGCTTTTTCAGGGGACGTAAACGTAAATGTAGTCTAGCTAGCAAGTGACCTTGATCTCCTCTAGAGAACAACCCACACAAAGCACCAGGGATTAATATGTACCATAAATCAATAAACATAGGTGCGATGAGCACGAACGAGATCTAGTGGAACAAAAGCCTCATGATTATTCCTTCTTGACCTTCTTCCCCTTCGGCACACGGAAGATCCAGTAGAACGCAATGGCTCCAACGGTATTGACCACAATATACACCCACAGCAGGCCAAAGTCGCGCCACCGATTGGCGAAGTTGACATTCAAGCCTGCCAGATACTGATTGGTGTACTCTAAGCTGCAGAAGTTGCACTCGTCGCTGCCTCGAGCGTCCGGGTTGAGCAGATAACCCCCGTGGGCGGAGCGATAATCTTGCATGTATTCGCCGCAGCTCATTCCAGAGGGAGCGAAGAAGGATAGGATTTCGTTGTCGGCACAATGCATGGGGGCATCGCCCAGGGTTGCCGATAGGAGGGAGGATACCAGGTAGGTAAAGGGGTTGACGCGGTACATGAAGATCCAAAAGCCGGGAAGAGCATCCGGACCTGCCAGGATGCCGCAGAAAGCATACATCATAATGAACAGGATGTTGGACAGCGCTGATGCCAGCTGATCACTATCCATCCCAGAGATCAACATGTGCGCGAACGAACTTGAGAAGAGAAAGACAGCCCAGATGATGAGGACAGCCAGCGTGCCCCGGGTGTGAACCTCGCCGGTATATTCCGCGTTACGGTACAGGCCCACGGGGTAGTACCAGACCAGGAAGGATAATATCGCCATGATCTGACCGAGATGATCAGTCAGTAAGACGAGGCAGAACCAGATACAACAGGGACGAACCGTATTCCAGAAGAACTCCACCGCGATGTTGGAGAGAATAAATGCTTGCCATGAATAGGTCTTGGACTGCCGCTCGCGCGATTCGTAGAGCGTCCGCTGCGTGACAAAGGATGGAATGATCTGCATCACCAGCTGAACAACCACGAAGAGGAACACGAAGACGCCAAACATCTGATTCTGTAGTCCCTGTCGAGTGTTGTCTGCTTTGAAAAAAGAGAACCCGATGAAGATCGCCTGCGAAATGCAAAGATGCGGTCAGCTGCGAATCACTACCATCCCAGATTGTCCAAGAGTTCCCACTTACACAGCCAACAGTCAGTACCATCTTGGAGTATATGTAGGAGGGCGAGCGCCAGTACTGCTGGAAGACCCGACTGGCGACTTGGATCAGTTGTTCGAAGAAAGGCGCCGCAAATTCGGCATAGCTGGACTTATCATTCGGATCAGAGAGCGGCGAGGGCTTGCTGGCCAATTCCCTCAGTTTGGCCAGTTCCTTCTGCACATCTTGATATTCAGGACTGTTTCTCCAGACTGCGGGCCAGTCAATTTCCGTCTGGGCTCCTGGAGCCGCTCCAATGACCTCCAGCATGTGCTCTGCTGGATTCGCTCCCGGCGGGCAGGCTGATCCCCCATTGCGAACAAAGTAGTCCATAAGAACTTGCGATCCTTCTCCCACCTCCCCAAAGTAGACAGTCTTGCCACCCTTGGCTAGCAGAAGAAGTCGATCAAAGCGTTGAAACAGCATGGCAGACGGTTGGTGGATTGTACAGAGAATGGCTTGTCCATTCTTGGTCAAGGTCTCCATCAGATTGCAGATGGACCAGCTGGTCTGGCTGTCCAGTCCCGAGGTTGGCTCATCCAAGAAAAGCAGCAGCTTAGGGCGCGCAGCCAGTTCCACTCCAATTGTCAATCGCTTGCGCTGCTCCACGTTGAGCCCTTCTCCTGGTACCCCGACGATGGCATCCGCATACTCCCGCATGTTCAAAAGGTCAATCACGGTCTCAACATACGCGAGCTTTTCAGCTCGGCTGTACTGGGGCGCTTGTCGGAGCAAGGCACTGAACTCCAATGCTTCACGGACCGTCGAGGTGTGGAGGTGCAGATCTTGTTGTTGCACATAGCCAGTCTTACGTTGGAAGGATTCGTCTCGAACGCGACCGTCCACCAACATATTGCCACCAATAACACCGACCGTCGTGCGACTCGCCAATACGTCCAATAAGGTCGTTTTCCCGGCGCCGGAGACCCCCTGTTCAGAATAGTTAGTTTGACTGACCAAAGGGTACGATGTGGGGGGTATGGCTGCTTACCATGAGCGCTGTCAAAGTACCCGGCCGAATCCAACCGTCGACATGATCCAAAATGCGTCGCGGCTCGCCTTTGATCTTGATGTCGTAGGTCACATCCTCCCAGTGGAAGATTGACGATTGCTTCTCGACTCCAGAGATGGTTCCCGACCCCTGGCTGCGTGCTTTGTCGCTTTGCACCACGGGATCAGGCCCCTGCTCCTCATCCTTCTGGTTTTGTGCCGACAAAGCTTTCTGCACTTTGTTGCGCCGGAAGACGAGCACCTCACCTCGGGAGCGTTGGCTAGAAACTAGTTCGGAGGTGACAAGGTGACAGACTGCCAGAAAGATGGTCAGGGCAATGATGATCCCGAAGTTGCGCCAGCGGTGACTGTTCTCGTATCCATACGAGGAGCGCACGAATGCGGTGCCTTGGACGACATCGGACCCCGGAACAGCTCCCACAGTCGAGCAGACCCGCTCTTGGCTTGAAACATTCTCGTATCCTGGTCCGGAGGGAATGAAGGAGGCACAGGGGAACCCCCGGCCATGAAACTCGTTTACCATTACAGCCTCGAAGCCATACGAGACTGGATTCAGCCATCGAATCCACGAGGCCCAGCCACGCATGTAGCTGACCGGGATAGCAAACCCCGTATATAGCACGAGGGCAAGCAGAATGATGGACGAGGGTGCAAGAGCCTGTTCGAGCGACTTGGTAATGGAGGCAAAGAACCGGAAAAACATGGACATGCCCATCATCATGGAGAATGCGATCAGGTACAGGAAGAAGAATGCTCCCGGTGTCCGCCGGAGATTTCCCATGAAGTACAACACCAGATTGACAAGCAACGAGTTGACAATTTTGTAAGGCATGTCCATGATCATTGATGATACGGCTTCAGCACTTGGGTGATAGAGGGCGTATCGGGTGTGTTTTTCGACGATGGTCCTCTTCTCGTACAGAACGATGATTTCCAACATGCTGGAAAAGGCGCTCAGGAGGACCAGCATGAAAAGAAGGGCACCACGCGAGAAGAACGATGATGTGTCATTTGCAAGGTTGTAGAACACACTGGAAATGATTAAAGCTTCGAAGAAGTTTCCAATTAGCATGGCAAGAGTGACACTCGGATCGTTCTTGAGTCGCTGAAAGTCTCTCCATAGGCAGATCCGAATCTGGCCCCAGTAAGACAAAGTGTATGGAGATTTTCGCCGCTGTTTCGTGGACTTCTCCGCTCGTCGAGCGGAGGCGAATTTATCAAGGTCCGAAGCGTGGAATGGGTGTGCGTCAACATATTGGTCGATTTCGTGCAGAAGAGCCTGGCGCTCAGGGCTTTCATGCCATCGTCTGGCGAATTCGTCGGCCGTTCTGGGCACGAGGTGCTCATATCCTGGGCGTATGACGCGTTCAACGGGGCTTGACATGGAGGTCAGGAAGTCAGGCGTTGTCTGTGCCTCGGGGCATATGAATCCCATGCGACTGAAGTAATCCCTGGCTGCCTGGGCAGGGCCAAAGTAGATCTGCCGTCCTTCGTACAGAACGGTGACTTTGTCGAAAAGCTAGACAACCTGTTAGCCAGGATTCATGCCTATGAGCGTTAAGCTGACTTACGTCGTAGGCCGCCTGGGGTGCCTGGTAGATGGCAACACACGAGGTCACCCCGAAAACATCGCCCTGTGTGCGTAATGTCCGACAGAATTCCTATACCACCAAGGATTCATCAGTATGGTATCACAGAGTAGCTGTTATGGTGTACATACCACAGCGTTGGCACTATCCAGGCCTCGAGTGCTGTTATCCCAGCACTGCAATGGAGCATAGCTCAATGCGGCTTCTGCGATGGTAACTCGCTTTCTCTCCCCTCCACTGACGCCACGCACAAAGTCATTCCCGACCTTGGTGTTGATCGTATGGCTGATCCCAAAGATTGACATGATCACATCTCGCAGATGGGTGGCGTACTCCTGGCGAGACATTCCACCAGGTACTTGACGAGGGACACGGGCGAGGGCAGCGAAGTACAGAGTGTCTCCAACCACCAGTTGGGGGTAGTGAGCATCCACCTCGGCTGTATAGACGGCTTCACCCCGGAACTCCGCTGACATCTGTTTTGGGGTGATCCCCTGGTAGTTGATGTACGTGGCCGGGTCGACCTGGAATCCATATGTTTCTTGAGCAATTGTTTTGAGGAAGGTCGAGCAGCCGGAACCAGGAGGCCCTAGAACACAGAGTTGTTCACCGGGGAGAAGCAAGCCGTCGACATCACGCAGAATCTCAATTCTCTTCTTCTTCCCGCCCAGAAGTTGGCGGATGAGGGTTGGCACCTTCAAGACCGCGTTCCCCACGCTCATCTGATAGTCAACCGGACTGCCATATCCCACCACGTTCAGGTTCTTGATGGCGACCCCGGCCACGCGTGCGGGGGCACTGTTATCAGACTGGTAGCGAAGACCGTAAAAGGCTTTCGCCCAGGCTCTGGCGTTGAATCGAGGACTGTGTGGGTCGAGAACGAGGTCATTTTTGTTGAAAGGCAGCGGGTGGTGCGACAGTTTGGATCGCTCACTCACGGAGCGAGCCAAGTGAGTGAGATCACAATCAATCTCTTCCTGATCTCCGGCCAGAGTCGCCTTTCCGTCCGAGTCCGAGTTGCAACTGCTGGTAGGCGTGCGAGTTGGTATGGGAACGTCGCTTAGGGCTGGGAGCCGCTTGTCGGCCGGTTTGGAATCCATTTCCTGGTGAAATGCTGGACGCTGCACAACAGACTTCTATCGCATACTGAACAAGTCTATCAATATAAGACCCCCGTGGGACTCAAGGAAGTTTTATAATTTCACCCGAGTCACAGCAGGCAGGCATTCCCCGGTCGGGCTCGGTCTTTGACACCATGAAGATCCGTTGTGTGTGAAGGAAGAAGTGATGCGCCGCCAAGTTCGGATTCCGCGGGCGCCGGCGGGGACCGTTTTCGGACGGAGTGGAGATTCCAGAGATATATTGTTATTAGATATTTGGTATGTGTTTCTTAGGTATTTTTCAAGTACCAAGTTTTACTTTCCTAGACCATGAGGACCTGCTTCCCTTGCCCCCTTGGTCACAGTGATCATGGACTGGTATTGAATCCCAATACCATACCTGAACCGATGACTGATTCTTTCATCAAGAGCGGAATCACGTGATAGCGCGGGGTTTTTGTTCCGCTGGGCTTGGCGCTCGGCCTGATGGACTTATAAATGTCCGAGATTGCCTGGTAGTTAATTATTGCATTGTAATTGTAATTGCATTCACTTGCCACCCCCAACTCCCCCGCCCCCCCTCTCTCTCTCGCCAGAATGTACCACTACAACCCTTTAGCTCGAATGAAGCTGTCGGTATGGCCCTAATCCCCTTCTTGAGCCTTTTTCATCGTACAACTGCTGACCTTATGGATGTAGTGCACGAGATGCAGGACCAGGAAGGTTTGCGCTTCCCCCCCCTTTTCTCCGTGCTCTTCATCAGGATTGCTGATGGGATCTAGCTGCGATGCGACAAAGGAGATCCCGAATGTAAGAGATGCGTAGATAGCGGCCTCTTATGCTCATATCTGCAGAGGAGAAAGGCTCGAACTACTCAAAGCTCCGAGCTCCACCACCTGGGCCATCGTCTCGAGGCACTCGAGGAGCGTATGAGGGGCACAGAGGCACCACCACACTAAGGACTACACCCCCCATATCTCCCCCGACCCAGAGCAACGTTCAGACAGAAGCAGAGTCGAGGGATATTCCTACCGAATCATCCGAGCCCCGCAGTAGCAGTATGGAACAACCTGGCCTTCCCCATGGTAGGCTGCATGCTAATGAGAGCAGCATGGATCTATCGCATGGTCAGCGGAGCCAAGGAAAATATCGAACACCTCACCAGCAACGCGTCATCATCCTGGACGCGGTCAACTGTAGACAACGCGATCACCCGGCTGGACACGGCTCTGGTTAACCTGCCCGCCCCAAGCCCTAGACCCGATCACAATGTCACCGACGAACGGAGAAACCACTTGCCAGTCAGCGATATTAAGCGCTTCATAGACAGTAAAATCAGTTCCCAACGTGACTCCTACCACCTTCCAGACTGACCGAAGCGATAGTATTCCTGGAAGTCATTCTCCCCAACCTCAGCATATTCGACTCCTTTGCAACCCTCGTGGACTCCGAGCTCCTGCGATCAATGCCCCATGTCATCGGGTCACCGTATGCCATAATCGAGCCAGTCATGCAGGTTCTCTATTTCAACGCGATATATTTCGGACAAACTGCTGGCACAGGTGCAGAACAGAGGGCAGCGGCGAAAACCTACTATCGCGGCTTGCAAGTCGTTCCGAAGTGGTTGGCATCGGCCCAAAGCTCGCATCTAGACCTCATCGCTGCGTCCTTAACGGTAAGTGGGGTGTGTGCAACTCCTCCCAAGTGATAATTGACACTTGGTGCAGGCATGGATGGGAATCAACAACTTTGACTACCATTTGTCATGGCAGTTCCACCGCGAGGCCTGTCGCTTCGGAGACCGACTAGGCATCCACGAAGTAGATTCACACCCGCTGGGCACTGCACAAGAGGAAATCGAAAAGGATGTGAAGCGGCGAATGCACTGGTATCTGGTGGAAATGGACCTTCTCTTCAGAACCTGGTACGACAAGCCCACGGCTCTGCGGTGTCCGGTTGGCCAGGTCCGACTGCCAGCGGAGATATCACCGCAAACCAAGCAGCTCAAGCCCCATAACTGCATTCTGTTCTTGGTCCGGGCCCGAACCCTCTTCATCATGGCCAACTTCTTCGTTCACTTCGAGGCCAGTAGGGCCAGTGACCATCTCAGTACCACGGCGAATACGTGCTGCATGGAGCTAGAAGAACTGGTCAATGACTGGGACCTCTTATCACTCGCCAGATCGCTCAACCTGGGCTGGGTAAAGTCCTGGCTCGTTCTCGAGACGGTCATTGCGTTGCATCTTTTCATCATCTTCGTCAGGCGGAAAGTGTCAAGTGCCGAGCAGATTGTGCACCCACAAGCAGTCCGTTCCGCCAGACTCATCATCGGCATTATCCTCGAGAAGTCAGAATCTCCAATCTCGCCCTGGGGGGAACAGGACGACTTTCAGACACAGTGAGTTTGCAGCCTGGGCCTTTCTTCTGGATGGACATTCACCGCTAACCCAACAAGCTTTCTGACATTCTATCCCTTTGGCGCCTTCTTCACCCTGTATTATCACATCCTGTCTTCCACCCAACCTAGTGAGTACGAAAGTGACCTCTGCACGCTCGAGAGGGTGGTGAACATGATGGTCGCAGCAGCTGCCATCCGCCCCGACTTCGCCCCAATTGCCGACGCCGTGAGTGCCCTTAACGATGTCTGTCGGGCATTTCACTCGGGTCAGAAGAATCCTGCTTCTACCATCAGTTCCTCAGACATGCTGCCAGACAACCCGCTGTTTCTGCTACCCAACGAAAAGGAAGCCGGTTCGTCGACCGTTGCAGATCTACCGCCGCTTGGGACTCTCCAGAATCTCGCCTCCATCATGCCGCTTCAGACAGATGAGGAACTGGATTACGCGTTTGGGATTCCCTTCCAGCTTCAACATCAGGTTGTACCCAGCACACAGTCTGGACTGGCCACGGAGAAGGAGACAGCGCGGACCATAGCACAGCCCTTGGACTTTGTGCGAGCAGTCGAGAACGAGTTGACCTGGCGCAACTGGCACGAAAGCTGGTGGAATTCACAAGCACCTGGATCAAGCTGATACGGTTTAGACTCCACTGTTCACCGAGTGCTACAGCTCTAATGGGTTTAGGCAGAAATTGCATTAAGCTATGGTCACAGTCGAAAGCTGCAGTGATTGACAGGAGAAGACGAAAGACTACCGATCCAGTTACTGCACATCGCATCCTACCAACCTCATCCTTGCTATCAAAATTCCTCTCGCACATGTGGGTAGTGTGTTATAGCCGTGCGAACCATTCAGTGCGGCAACCCGTTGTTGTAGCTGAAGAAGCCCTGGGGATCCCACTGTTTCTTCAGCGCCAACAAGCGCGACAATTTCTCGGATCCATACATAGGGTCCAGTCCCTCTGTTCCGTGCGCATAGCTGACGTAGATATGAAGATTGTCGAACCCGCTGGTCGCGTTGAAGGTCTCCAGAGCTGCAAGGGCAAAGTCGTCGACAGATGTTCCGATGGATGAATCGGTGAGGTTGAAGGAGAACATTCTAATCATAAACACCGGGTCAGTCATGCGTTTGCTGTTATCTCCAGATGTGCGCAAGAACAGGAGGTGGAGGAAGTACTCATGAGCACGGATTTCTCGATGGGGATAGGCAGTCGATGCATCGGCCACGGCCGTCACAGCTTGGACAGGAAAGTATTCCACCTGCCAAGTGCTCCCGGACGCGGCCGGGTAGTCCGACCAGAATTGTGTGAGTTGGTTGAAGTAGGCGATGTGGGTGGCCGCGTCGATGGTGCGGACGCCGAGGGACCACATGTCGTGTTTCTCGCCGTTGATGCAGAAGGCCGTGGCAAGACCAAAACCGGCGTCGGCGTCGACCGCATCCCAGGTAATCATGGAGATGTTGCGCTCGAGATAGGTGAGGTTGAGGAACGGGGCCAGGAGGTCGAGACCCTCTTGCTCGGGACCAGGGTACACGGCGTTCAGAAGTATCACGGGCTATCACACCCCAGAGAGGATATAGGGTTAGAATTCAATGATGGAGTTTTAGCAGAGGAGAGGGAGACTTTGACTTACTCCTGCGGCAGCATCGTTCATCACCAAGGTGTACAATGACAACGCCGCTGGGAGGGTGTCATAGCTAGCTAGAATCTCGAAGTAGGTCTCGTTGAGCTCGGCAGGGAACATGAAGTCGGCATTGAGTACGTTGCCCTTGTTGGTGAGTTCATACACCTTATATGTGGCCGAGGTGACGATGCCGTAGTTGAAGCCGGCGCCGCGCAGGCCCCAGAATAGGTCTGCGTTCTCCGTAGCCGACACAGTGATGAGATCGCCCTTCACCGTGACAAGTTCCACGGACTCCAGCGCGTCGATAATCAGACCGTGCAGACCCTGATAGCGCCCTACTCCGCCACCGAGAGTTGCCCCTACCATGCCCACGCAGGGGCAGGATCCGGTTTCTATTGGCATTGCCCACTGGTTAGTAACCATGTTAACCATCTCTAACATACCGGGAATACACACGAATTTCCTTTCCAGCATTGAAGAGAGGCTCCATAATTTGTGAAAACTTAACGGAACCACCGATGGTCATCGTGCTCTTCTCAGCATCGATTTGGATACTGTCAAACGATCCCATATCAATTTGAAGCCCCTGCTGAAGAGCCCCAAATGAGGTACTATATCCATGGCCACCTCCGCTGGCCAAGAATGGTAGATTCTGACTGGTGGCGTATTTGACCTGTAGCCAGGATGGGCACAGTCAGCGAGTGGTACTGGACTTGAGGATTGAGCCGCGAACATACAACCGTCTGCAAATCGGCGACTGAGCCGGGCTTGATAGCCAGTGAGAAAGTGGGCTCATCCCAGGCGGTCCATCGCTGGATGATATCCCCCCAGTCTGCGTCGTTGGGATAGAACACTTCGCTGGACGAAGAAAGATGGGGCAGAAGAGCAGTGATATTGGATGCAGCTGCTCCGGCAACTATGGACAGGGCAGCGAGCATTTGGGCTGGGCGAACTGCAGCCATCGTGGCGAATTTCATCTTCGCAGTAAGAATGGTCTATTGTCTCGAGAAATCAATATTGCACTGTGGGAAAAGCTTGCTCTGCGCTCCTCAAACCTGGAATGCAGGCTGGCTTTTATATCCAGGAGCCGAGTACAGTTCACGTTGGATTTTGGCGAGATAATGGAATCCGCAGATACGGTAGGTACAACATGCCACTCAGCCTCGTGGTTACACGTGCTAATCCCAGCTCCCACGAGGCAACAGTACCTGCATTGCCAAGGCATGAGTTCGCCGAGTTCGAGCTAAGTGAAATTTTAGTCGATCTTACGAGATCTTTCAGCCACGTGCTCATGCATGTCAGGTCAGAAAGGCGGCTGTGGTGGTGTCAGAACGTCAGATCAACCTCGTGTCAGGCGAATCCGTGCGGAAGATATATAGTCTTCTCATTTGAGTCATCCATCAGACAACATCTGATCGTCGTCATCATCATTGTTATTTGCCAGCATGGGCTCAATCTCTACCACCGCGCGTCCTGAAAGGGCCCACTCCGAGCCTCGCCGGCTTAGGATAGTTCACGTGGGGGCCGGGGCAGCCGGCCTGATGACGGCATACAAGGCTCAGAAGATGCTATCGAATTATGAGCTAGCCGTATATGAAAAGTATGTCGTTGAAGGTGTCTGTGTGAAGTCGCTCTGACCTGACCTTTGCTAGGAATACTGAAGTTGGAGGGACATGGTTTGAAAACAGGTATTTCCATACCATAGGAGATGCGACCAAGAAGCCATCGGCAGGCTGGTGCTAAGGAGCATGAGATAGATACCCAGGGGTGGGCTGTGATGTTCCCTCTCATTCGTACGCCTTCACTTTTGAACCCAACTCCGAGTGGAGTGGGTACTACCCCAGGGGAGAGGAAATCCAGAAATACATGGTGGATTTCGCCAAGAAGCATAGCCTCTACCAGTATATCTCCTTTCAAACGGAGGTTACCCAGGCTCGTTGGATTGAAGAAGACGGTGAATGTTCGTCTCGCTCATCTGACTCATAATTAGCGGTAAGCGATACTGATTCAATTTCTAGGGCAACTGGACCTCAAGACAAAAGATGGGACCCGGTCTCAGGACCGATGCCATGTGCTGATCAATGGCTCGGGTCCATTAAACAAATGGAAATGTTTGGATTCCATCTCATGTTTCTGACCTTCTGACCTCGGGGCTAACATGGAAACCAGGGCCCGATATCCCCGGGATTGATACTTATCGTGGCATACTCACTCACCCAGCTAATTGGGACCCATCCATTGACTGGAAAGGAAAACGTGTTGCGGTCATTGGTACTGGTTCAACGGGCATCCAACTGATTCCTCAAATTGTTAAAGGTACAGTACTATGCCCTACATTGCGCGTTGATGAGCTGCCCCCGAACCAACGCGAATGAACACTCATCATCCTATCCCTCTCAGATGCCAAGTCCCTGTCCGTGTTTGTGCGTTCAACGCAATGGATTGTGCCTCCGGCTGCTTGGCAGGATCTGCGTCTGTTTCCTGATGACCCCGAGAAATCCGCCATGCCCGCCCCCGTGGGCAAGCACCTCTACACCGAGGCCGAGAAGGAGGTCTTCCGCACCGATCCTGCTCGTTTTCTCCAGTATCGCAAAGCGGTCGATGGAGTCATGCAGGAGCGGTTTCCCATCTTCCTCCGTCACCATCCCCTGCATGACATGACCACTGAAATGATCACACAGATGGTACAGTCCCGCGTGGGGCCGGATCGCGAGGACATCGCCAAGTTATTCACACCCACCTTTTCGCCCGGGTGTCGCAGGCCTACGGTAGGTTGGATTCAAGTATCATCTCGGATGAACATGATCATGCTGACAGGAACAGCCCGGCGATGGCTTTCTCGAAAGCCTGACAATGGACAGTAAGATAACCTCTACCAATGTAGAAACATCACTCTTGGTCACATCATTAACCATCCATGCAGATGTCCGGGTGGTTACGGACCCGATTGAACAATTCACCGAGAAAGGGATTCAAACGACTGGCAACGAGGAGAGGGAATTTGACCTCATCATTTGCGCTACGGGTTTTGATGTAGCCTTCGCACCTCACTTGTGAGAATCCTCGCTTCTGCGCCTGTATAATTATGGCTGTCTAACGTGACCAGTCCCGTGGTTGGTTCTCAGGGCCAAACAATGCGCGACGAATGGGCCAAGGTAAGTGGCCTGCCACCGGGCCGAGCGCAATGTGGGATGCTGAACAATCACAGTCCCCAAACATCTACCTCAGTATGGCGACGCCCAACTTCCCCAACTTCTTCTTCATTGGTGGTCCCACAGGGAACTGGGCGCAGGGATCAGTCTTGATTACGGTAGGAGGTGTCTGAAAACCAGTTTGCCAACGAAACCCATGGCTGATGACACAATCCTCATGTAGCACGAAGCTCAGGTTGAATACGCCCTGCAATGTGCGGCCAAGATCAGCAACGAAGGCTTGCACTCGCTGACTCCCAAACAAGCCGTGACCACTCAGTGGCGCCGCCATGTCGATACCTGGCATGACACTCACTCGGTCTGGGCGGAGTCGTGCCAGTCGTGGATGAAATACAACGGTCGCATTCAGCTGTGGCCCGGAAGTATGCTGCATATGCTCAAGTCACTGAAGAGCCCACGCTTCGAGGACTACGATATCAAGTATTGCGAGCAGAATATGTGGGCGTATCTGGGTGAGGGACGAACCGTTACCGAGTTGAGAAGGGAAAAAGGCGAGGCGGTCGACATGGCACCGTTTATGCGAACTCACGATGAGCCCTGGTCGGTAGAATAGACTGTTGAGAGTAGATAGTGATTTATTGTAGGCACCTGATTGGTGTTTGCAAGTGTTCTGCGTCTTAATCAATGGATATGCTGGTACAATTGACTTCTATTCGCCTCTCGCAACTAGTAATTTGTGGTGGACCAGCCTTAATGCAATACTTTGTTAAGATAGTCATTCCAAAATCATGGTAGGAGTTCAGTCTAGCCCTGACAAGCGTATGGTGCAGGTCGAGAGTATGCATTCTATGGGGTGCCAATGAGGGTACCTGCGGGGAGATTGCCAATATCCAGCCGAGCGTTGACAGGGTAATGGTCCCGCTGAATTGTTTCCTCGAATCTAATCAGTGTCGGCCGTTTGAGTTAGTTCCCAATGGAAGCTTGAAAGGCTGACGATCTGATAAGCTGACGATCTGAGAGTCTGACAGTCTTACAGTCTGACAGCAAGGCTGACGGTCAGACATAGGGTTCCCACCATCTGCGCACCCACACGTGCCGGGGAAAGCCTAACCTATATTGATCCTCCACCACCAGGACGACAGAAGCTCAAATCAAAGTCGAAAACCACTTCAAGTCTCTAAGAGTCATCGATCAATCATGTCTCAATCCGCAGGCTTTCCTACCCTCCGCCCCGCCTATATTCTCAAGGTATGACTTGCCCCGACAGTGTGGGTGTTATCCGACCAGATACCAACAAGCAGGAATAGTTTGAGGTCGGGCAGGGCCAGCCAGTCGGTACGCAAGTGTAAAATATATCCCTCGTGTGTCCGAGAACGGGAACTGACCTGAACGCATCGCGCGTACAGGGCCCACCTCCTCCGGCTCTACCTTTATTCACTACGTGAGCCACCTCTATGTATCTCAGCATGCGCACTTCAAGCTTCTGATAAATTCAACTGTAATGCAGTCTTCCCCGGGCGGTACGATCACTACAGTCGAAGGATTTTCTCCCCGCATCAACGCACAGGTAGTTGTGGCCGGAGACTGGCTGTACTTCGATCCCGATCAGCAACACACGCGGATGAATGTCCACGGAATAGCGAGGTGTGCTTGGAACTCCAATCACTGGACTTTTGAAAGTGCTCTGTGACTAATGCATTGGCATGAAGAACCACTGAAGATGAAGTAAATATTTCATCCCTGTCTCTTCCACCTCCATTGGGCCCTCCACCGGAACAACTCATACTGACCGTAGACCAGGGAATCAGGTTCAAATATTCGGGCGTCTCTACTGTCTCTGAGGACTTGGCGGCCATATTCCAGGGTCAACCGAAGACGGTTGCCTTTGGACAGTCAAGTGAGTACCTCTCATCCTAGAAGAGTACTGCCCTCTTTTCCCTGGAGACAGTATCTAATAAAGTGTTTGCAGCAATGAACATGACTTTCGAGGTGGGCTCGCCTCGAATCAAGGCACTTGAGAATAGCAACTGGGTGGGCAATGGCCGGTTTAAATTAGAGGGAGATAAGCTCTGGGTCGAAGTGCGCATTGCCCAGGTGGTGGCCAGCCAGGATATGGATTGACCAGTCCTTGGCCAAGGACAGTCCCAGTTAGGTTCAGGGGCTTCTGATCTTGTTCGCCCACCCAGACATTCATAATCACGCAGATCCCCAAGTCAGAGAGTGTTCATTCTTGCCTACTACTATTTACGTAGTTCATTGTTTTTGATTATCAACTCAGATGTCATGTAAAAGTGCAAGTAGTATCAAAATATGCTTTATTGCGGTCTGGCAGGACTAAAGATGACTACTCTGCATACAAAGTGCTCGGTCGCCATTATGCTAGAGTTGATTTCATCTCGGATCTTCTGGTACAGTGTCCCAGATCATATCTAACAGGAACATAACGAGGAGGCTTTCCTCGGTTGCGTGAGATAACCTTCAAATGGCTACTACCACCCATACAGTTGTGACTCTTGAGCACTGTGCTAGATCCGGGGCGTGATTGTATTCCTTGTCATTCTATTGTCAATCTAAGGCACTGAGATAGATGAAATACCACGCATATCTTGAACCCTACTGCTTTGACAACAGTATACAGCCAGGATGCACGAAACGACCCAAATTATCGATCCTAGTCAGAGCCAACCCTCTACGCACTCCGTCCTTCGTATTCCTTCTCCAATTCGCCCAGAAATCCCTCCAATGGCTTGCCCTGAACCCTGACCTCCTTGCAATCCAGCAGGATGTAGAGCATCCGGCCGGGTTCCGTCTCCCCACCCGTGATGTTCTTCCACTTGTGGGCGGTCGCCCGCTGGACGCTCACATCCCCGCGCTTCATAATCCGTGTCTCGCCGGAGTCCAGAGTGAGCTCGAACTCTCCCTCTAAAACGATCCCGTAGTCAATGGACAGGGCGCGGTGCATTGGGGATTCGACGCCTGGGCCGAAATCGATCATCCGAGCCACTGTGCCGTTGGGGATGTGGAGACCTGGCTGTGGGAAGTGTTATCCAGAGTTCAGGGGAAAGGAAGATGGTAGGGAACCGCAAGAGAAAGATGAAGAGAAGTAAACCAACCTCATTCTCGCGAGCATACTGGATATCTTTGCTGTCGTTGAGATCGACTGGATTCTCCTGGGTTGAGTACAGGATGTTGGCTACGGCTTGATTCTCACCCATAATGCGGTGGTGGTCGCCACGATCGGTGACAAGGAAGTGGCCTTTGCCGTCCTCCTCGCTGTGGCCGGTGATCAGTCGCTGCGTGGCGCGCAGACCAGGAGCAGGGAACCCATTGGTAGAGACGAAGTTAATAGCGGCAGTGGTCGTCATTGTGGAGGGGAATTGACCGTTGTGTAATTAGAATGGAGGATAAAAGCCCAATGTGCTGTTGATACGAAGAGGAGGGAACATTTGTCCAGATATATATTGAGACACCGTGCGTTAAGAATAGATACTACTTGACGCATCTGACGGACCCTGATGTCTGACCCCCTCTATCTGACATTGTCAGAAGTCCTATCTGACAACCCCAACTTCAGTCGTGCTACCGCACTTGAAAGAGTTCAATGACTGCCCACTCTTTTCCTGGTGTCGGAAATCAAACATGGCTACAGAGGGTAGTTCCTCCGTCCACAATCCAACTGCTCCCCGTGACATAACTGGCGCGCGGGCTGCATAGGAACAGAATCAGGTCGGTGATCTCGTCCACCTGTGCAATCCGTCCCATGGGCACAGACTGGGCAATCAACGCCGCGAGGTCGGGATTGTCTTTCACAGCGCGGTCAACCATCGGGGTGTCGACCCACGACGGACAGAGGCAGTTCACGCGAATCCCGTACTTGGCGTTATCTAGGGCTTGGGGGACCCATAAGACGTGTTGATCAGCTTCGTCGTCTCGAGCTCATCTTCACTGTACCCTCTTAATTGTTGATGACTTACCAGCATTCCGGGTCAGTCCTAGCACCGCATGCTTGGACGTGGTGTATTGCGTTAAAGCGGGGGTCGCGACGAAGGAGGCACAGGATGCCATGTTGAGAATCACTCCGCGCGTGCAGCCCCGCTGAGCATTGCGAGCGCTGACGAGGCGCGCTTCCTGCTCCTTCATCGTGCGCGAGACATACTTGGTGAGAAGAAAGGAGCCCGTGACGTTGACGTCAAGGAAGCGAATGAATTCCGTCAGGGATGCTTCCGCAATCTCCGCGGCCACTTGGACGCCAATCTATACATGTACATAGGGTGAGCATTGGAGGATTGTGTCTGTTCAAGAGATACCTGGTAGTGAGACCTAAGATAAGAGACAGAAGAAGGGATTACATACACCCGCTGAGTTGACCAAGTAGTCAATGGTCCCGAAGGATTGCTGGGTCTGGGTCACCACCGCTTCCACCTGCGTTTCGCTGGTCACATCGAGTGGCATGACCACCGCTTGGTAGGTGGGGTGAGTGGCGAGAGCCCTACTTTCCTCGGCGGCCTGCTGGGCAGCCTCAAAATTTAGGTCGGTAAAGGCCACCCCCGCGGCGCCTTCGCGGGCAAAGGCCAAGGCGCAGGCTCGCCCAATGCCACTGCCGGCCCCGGTGATCAAGGCGTATCCCGTAATGTCCATGCTGTACTCGGTAGACAGAGAGTTGTTTCCGTGCTTTCCTGGCAGACCATGGCCTTTCAGCGGGTCAATATATCTGGTGCCAACCTCGTTGCTGATTGGCACTGGGGATGCACTCGGTGCACGGTTCGCCGCGGTCAGCTTGCAGGCTGGGCCTGCCTGCAGTCAGAGTCAGAAAGTGGAATAAGCCTAAACGGCTGTGTATCAAACTAGATCTGGGGCTGATATAAGCACTAGATAGAGACTAATTCTGACAGGAGTAATCATCGTTCATGTTCTAAGGGCTGTCTATTTAATGATTTCACGATGATTCAAAGAACTTGCGTGGACAAAACATGAAGTACCAATATATACTCTGAATAGCATGAAGAGAAATGCAAAGGTGGGCATCAGTCGTAGCCTCAGTAGTAGATGAAGAAAGACAGGACATGAGCAGACCAAAACAGGTACCAACTAATCAAGCGGAATAGACAGCAGGACTCGGGGAAAGATTAATGACGATATGAAGTGGTCGGACATCCGACGCCTCCGACGCCTCCGCCTCCGCCTTCACTTCCGCCTCCACTTCCGCCTCCGCCTCCGCCTCCGCCTCCGTGTCTCCTTTTTTCTGCCTCGCATCCCCGCCCAATGAACCCTTCCGTGGACGGTCGGAAACGGGGGGTGTAATCGCAGAGAAAGAAGAAGAAGAAGATGATGATGATGATGATGACGGTGAAGAGCAGGGATATCCATACTCAATGTGAGCATTGGGCTGCATGAGCATCTCGGCCAGAGCTGGATGAGAGTGGGACAAAATCCGAGCCACCTAAGCGATGTGTACCGACCTGTGACTGTGACTGTGACTGTGACTGTGGCTGTGGCTGCTGGGATAGGGCGAGTCGGGCTGCCCCGGCCCCGTCCCCAGCCCCGTCAGGGATCCGCAATGGTGGCATATGCCCCGGAAATGGGCTGTAGGCCCCGGCGGTGGTGGGGCCGGGGCGGCCCGGCGTTTATTCCGGGCGGCCGAACAGCTGCTCTCACCTCTGCCCGCGTTGTTGGTGTTGGTGTTGGTGTTGGTGTTGGTGTTGTTACTGTGGATGTGAAAAATGCGGCTGCTCCAGCGGGATCGACGGGCCGGCGACGGCGGCAGCGGCAGCTGATCGGCGGTATCCGGAAGCACGGGAGTTGGACAGTCATGGTGGATATAGATGTGGATGTCATTGCTGGATTGAGTGGAGGCTCCCACAATACTCGTGGCTACCCCGGGACCAGGAGTGGAGACATCGGAGACCAGAGCAGGGTCCAGTATCAAGGCCCCTTCGTCGATCCTTCCCGACCCAGCAGCCAAGTATTCGTGATCGGGGCCTTCGGGCCAGGAGGGGCTTTCTAGCGCACTGAGGTCGAGGGTGGAAGAGTTGTGGACATCCAGCTGTGGCGTCATCAAGTCGAGATCTAGTGAGGGAGACAGCGGGTTGAGGGGGTCAATGAGCCCGTCTAAGAGGAAGTCGTCTGCCACAGGCGCTCCCGAAAAGTCCAGGTCTATCTCGGAAGCTGACGTGGACCTCATGATGTCAAATGAGATCGGCTGGTTCTGCAATTTGCGCTTTGCGCCTGGCATTGCATGGAAGTTTGGTCGGTGCATCGCAGCCGAGCTAAGTCTGTAGCAGAAGAGACTTACGTAGCTTGCGTTGTGAATTGCGGTTCTGAATGCGTTTGCGCAAGGCCGGTTCGGAGATGTGACTCCAGTCCTCCTGGTCAATCATTTCCTCCACCGGCGATGTCGAGGCCATGGAAGCTACAGCTATGGAACAAGAAGGCAAGGATAGATAGGCAGACAGGCACAATGATCAGGGATATGACGAACTTCCAGACTGAGAATCGGATTTCAAGCACCACGCCGTCGAGCTAAGCAATTGTACCTCGCATTAATATATAAAGCCGCATCATGAGGATAACCAGAGACATATGGTCCCAGCCCGTTTGCAGAACCCTTGCTGCCGTTCCACTAGAGCAAGCACATATTTGTTCTCTGAACCAGCTAGTGCAAGCGAGAAGGAGCGCTACTTGCAGACATGTTGCTGGACCTGATAGGCACTGTAAGCTGATGAGCCTCACCAGTAGTCATAGCACCCAGTGACAATGCTGGCCATGCTCCTCGGGGCTTGCCAAATGGTCCGCGTCCGCGTCGCTGGCTGCCTTAGATCTAGACCGGACGTACCGCAGTATCGAACAATCACCTGGGAATCTTCACTCGACGAATTCCATTAGGTCCGAGTACTGAGTCAGATCGTGATTGACTGAGCGAGATAGCGAGATAGCAAGATGGGGCATGATGGTCGGACGAGCCGAAAAGGGACCAGCATAGAGCTCAGGATGTCTCGTGGAATCCTCAATTCCTTCAAGCTGGATCACCCAATCCCAATGGGAAGCCTTTCTACTGCAGAAGAAGCCACTGGTTCATTCTTCACCAGGAAGCCATTTGATTGGAGATGAACCTGCAATACCCCGCACGTGCTGACATCGACTAAGCACTGATGGCCTGCAGAAAGCTCGGGCGGAGAAACTCCTCAGAACTGTCAGCACTAAGGACTCGGATTCTACCCAGTAGGCACATTTTGGGGCTGTTGGACTTGCATTCTCACCTTGCATCTGATTGGCGAGGTACTTTATATGCCGCAGGTGCCGCGTGTGCCTCGTGCACCAACTCATACCTTGTACTCTGACACAGTCCTTCCCAACAGCTTATCGGCTTACAAATTATCACGTCAGCTGTAGTGGAAACGTTGGAAGTCGCGGAACCCCGTCCCGGCCATCTGCTTGGTTGGGGAGGCATGGTGGAATATTACCTTACAGTCCATAGTTCGTGATACCGTCACTAACGTGGATCATCTCATTGGCACCTCAGCGCTTCCTCGGGAAAGTATTCCCTCCGGATCGCCAGAAACCACTCCCATAATTGGGCGGAGCAGGACGTGCCTTTCAAACGACGGGCAATTTCGTCGATGAGCCTCTCCACCCGGCCCGCGAGGAACCATTCGCCGCGAGTGGGGCGCAGCAGAATCGCGTAGTATGCCAAGAGCAGGAGCGCGCCGGGGCGATCCTGCTTGAGTAGCGTCAGGTAGGCGGGAGCCACGCGCATCGGCCACGCATTGAGGGCATCCCAGACGGAGACGGCGGGGCCCCGGCGCCGGAGAAAAGCCCCGGCGGCGGCAAGCTGGACCGCGGCGGCCCGGTAGGCGTCGTGCTCCTCCGCAAGCTCGGGGGCAGGGTGCTCCGCGACCACCATGGCGAGCAAGGTCCCCAGCAGCGGGTCTTCGGGGCCATCGGCGGACGGACCGCCGACGCCAAGGTCATCCTCCCACAGGGCGGCGAAGGGCGCGAGGGGCCCCGCGCTGAGCGCGTCCCAAAACGGGCAGAGCATCGAGCAGCCATTGCGGAGGATGTTGATCCAGTGCAAATGTTGGTCGGGGTCATCGCTCAGGAACAGGCGCGGGTCCTCGGTGTCTGAGTTGAGGGAGCAAATGACGAGGAAAAACGCAAAGGCCAGGACTGCCTCGCAGTTGTCGCGATCGACGTGCAGGATGGCCTGACGAAAAGCGGGAATGGCTTGGTCTTGGTGCCGGAGGGATTGGAAGACATAATACGTGCGATTAGCCGGGTCGATGGAGGCCAGGTGCAAGGCGGCACACGCCATGACCCCCTGCCTCAGGAACTCAAATCGGGGGGCCAGACCCAGAACGACCTCGCCAAATGCGTGGTCGGTCTCGGGGTTATTGGAGAGGGACTTGTAGGTCGAATGCCGATAATGGTCGAGAAGACCTTGGTTGGTTACGAGCCCCAACGAATACTGGTCCAATGGTAGAAGCCGACTATCCAAGTGTGTTGTACTGGTCGCCGGGGTAGTACCGGTCTACAGGCGCAGGAAGTAACCATCAGCATTGGTAGACAAGATTGAAGATGGAAGAATTGGAAGGGTTGAAAACCGACCGTACTCGATCGACCATCATTGCTGACTTCGTCGACGCTATATTCCGAGGGAGAAGCTGGGGAGGCCACTAACAAGGACGGATTGGTGAAGTATCGCAGGGCATTTCCCCGGAAAAAGGTCTGTAAGGGGACTGGGGTCGAGAGGGTGCTCTCATTCGAGGTGGGAATCTGGTGGGTGCATCGCCAGTGTTGCTTCATGCGTTTGCTGGTGGCGCAAAGATAGCCACAGCGCTCAAAGCGGCACGCCAGCCCTTCCTGGATGGAGAGGAAGGGGACCGGAAACTGGCTTTCATCAGGCAAGTCTATATCCTGCGGCTGGGCCAGCTCGAACTCCGCAGCAAAGGCGACAAAGGTGCGCCGCGTTGCACGAGAAAGATAATGGATCTCCTTGAGATGACGCGCAATGGCCCCGGGCTGAATGGCGTAGCGGCATCGTAAACAGACCAGCACCCGGTAGGTGGGCAAATAACTCAGGAGTTGAGAGGGGGTGGTCGGCTCTTCTGGGGACTGGGACTCGACTTCTGCGCCCATCATGGGGGTGAATGACAATGAAGACCGCAGTTGAAAAGTTGACAGCTAAAGATTGGGATTGGAGTTGAGGGGGGGGTGGAGTGAGATCCATGGGAATGAAGAGGGGAGAGGAGAGGAGGAGGAGAGAACATACGTTAACCACAGTGATCTACAGTAATGACCGGTAATGTACGGTCATCTGGGTTTAATTACTAACTACTGGGATGTGGATGAGTCAGCCCCCGACTGTTTCTCCCAGTAAAGTTCATTAACTTTACCACAGTACTATAGGTATACTTATTCATCCTCAACTCACTTACTACAGCATTGACACTGAGCAGCTTCCATCTGGCATTATCGGCGGTTAAACAATTAGGTAAAAGAAAGCAAATACCAAAAAAAAAAAAAAGAAAAGGAAAGAAAAAAAATCAACCAAGCACGTGCAAACACAGCAAGAAATTCACAGAAAATAAAATCAAATCTGCGACAATAGCGCATTCACGTCCACAACTTGCTTCAGCTCCGAGATCGTCTCATCCCAGACCTGGTCCTGAGTGATTCTCCCCGCGTCGCTATCCCCGTAGCCCGCAAAAGGAGCAGGCTTGTTGTCACTCATGTACTGGCCATTGGAGGGCTCTCCAGCCAACACCGCAGAGTGAACCAGAGTACGGGCTCCCATCGACACCGATCGACCGATCACCCTCTTCATCCCCCCTAAAACCTTGCCGAATGCCCCTTCCGCCGTGCGATGGAGTTCGGAGCCATAGCAAAAGCCGGGGTTCACCAGGTTGAGAATGGCCCCCGTGGAGCGTTTGCCGGGGGATCGATGCTGGAACAGCTCCAGAAAGAAGAGCTGGTAGAGCAGCTTCGAGGTATAGTAGCGATCGCCCATGTTGAAGTGCTTGGGGTCATCTAGGACCTGGATCAGAGGCCGTCGCTGACTCCGTGCAATCTGCGCCTCCTTGAACTTGGCCCATGCGGCGGTTTCGCTGCCCACGATGGAAATGACCGGACGAGGGCGATTCAGATTCTGGGCGGCCTGGCCATCGAGGACTGGAAGCAGAAGCAAGGTCAACAGTGCGGTACTGAGCCAGTTGACCTGAATACTCGTCTCGTGGGAGGTGGCTTGGTTGACTGTGAAGTGGAAGTTGGCCACTCCCGCGTTCAGAAGGGCAAAGTCGATGTGAAGCCCGGACTGCTTGAGGCGCTCGACAAAGGCGAGCACACTGGCATAGCTGCCGAGATCCAATTCCCACACCTCGACCACGGGAGCTTTGGCAGAAGCAGGCAGCGATGCGAGGAGGGATTTTCGGGCTGCCTCGCCCTTGGAGCTGCTGCGGACCGCTAGGATTAGATGCGATAGCCCCAGGCCCAGCAATTGCGCCGAAGCTTGATAGCCCAGTCCAGTGTTGGACCCGGTGACAATGCCGGCTTTGCCGCGAAGGGAGGTAGAAGACGGAGCCTTGGAGGGGCAGACTAGGAATTGGCGATACAGGAAGCCAGGATAGGTATTGTAGAACACCATGGTGATCCAACTGAGGATAAAATCTTGAGGGAAGGAGATACCGTGACAGAGGAAAAGCAGGTAGGTGTGTGCAGTTCACCCATTATATAGCTCCTCTGCCCCCCCCCCTTCAAGCCCGGTGCAAACCAAGAGTCGGTCTGGTCCTCTGATGAAAGGTGCATGGATAGGTCATGGATAACGAGGCCACGGTATGGTAGGATGCCACTTGATGGTGTCCACGGTAACTGACCAGGTTATCTCCTGGTCTCCTGCATGAGTCGGTGGAGTCCGAGTCCCAAACCGACGGTGCCGTTCCCGACGATGATTGGCTGGCTCGGATTTAAGCAGTTCCCCCGATGGAACCGAGATGGGAACCAAAGGTGCCGTTCCACCTGACGGAGGACAGTCTGTCTGACGGTCAGACCATTCGACTCACATACTTGACCTGTTCAGCATTGAAGAACTCTTCCTTGCTCTGGAGACACCACGTGACTGTAGGTTTGGCATGGTTGCACCTCCCCGAGGCCAACGTGACCGCCTACCGGAAGCGCGAATCTGGCAGGCAGTATCTACCTCACCGTACCTCGGGCGGTCGCACCTGCACGAGTTATATATCTCGGGACGGTCCCGTGGTCATCGAGTACTACTAGTATGACACAAAATTGGCAAGCGTTAAGGAAAGCTTATAGCCGGAAGGATAGCTATTTTGAGTACGAGATAAACTAATAATCTTATGAGGAAAGAGTCACTGCGGCTTCAGAAGCCATCCTGTGCTTTCAATGCCAAAACAAGGCAGATCGTGGACAGGGGAGAAGGGCCCGGGACACCTGGCAGGAGGGGCGGATGTCCGTTTGCGGAATCCGGCAGACCGGTCGGAAGAGCCTGGCATGGCAGGCGGTGAATGCCCCCGCCCGACTAGCAACTGTCACTGCCTGAGGCATTAACTCAGGCAACCTCTCACTGGGAAGAGTGTCATCATCATCTACTAATGCTAACTAATGCTTTCTGCTCGCAATCTTGATCCAGAAATTGTGATGAACCAACAACGCCAGGTTTTCCTGCTTCCAGATGGGTCGTGCCCCATTATTGATCTGGGGTCTGAACAGGCGGAAGAACTAGATTGCCAAGGAGCCATGGTTAGTCCTGTTAGGTGAAAAAGCCGGACGAGAACCCCACTACGAGGCGGTAGACAAGAAACAGAACACAAGGAGATGCGAATACCTGGACAAGCAGCTTATACGTCTCCAGCAGGGCGATATTCTTCCCCAGGCAGATGCGCGTCCCGTATCCCCAGGTCAGAATACACTTGTCCATCAGGGCGATATGGTCCGGATCGGCCACCAGCCAGCGGTCCGGACGGAAGACATCAGCGTCCTCCCCAAAGACGCGGCGATTCCGGTGCACCACATACGGGTTGGCTCCAATCTCCGTCCCGGCGGGGATATGCTGGTTGTGCAGCGTGAGACCCCCCGGAGACACGTAGCGCGGAATGATCATCGGGGTCGACGGCTGATAGCGCATGGTCTCCTTGTAGCAGGCTGTGAAGTAGGGCATATCTTTGATCTCGTCGTATCGTGGCACCGGGGAGGTGAGGTCGCCACGCTGGTCGTACTCGTCGATCTCCGCCACCAGTCGCTCATATACCCCAGGGGTCTCAAGGACATAACGCACAAAGCCACAGAAGAAAGCGGCGGTGGTGTCTGAGGCTGCGACCATGAGCACGAAACATTCGGTCTTGACCTCCTCGAGCGTGATCGGGGTCCCATCCGGGTTGGTTGCGCTCAGAATATTGTCCAGGAAATCCCCTTGCTTGTGAGCCTGAGGGTTATTCAGTCGATCTGCCAGCAGCCGATCACGAAACTAGAGACACCGGATGGATGAGCCTTCATCATATTTCCACCAGAGGTGTGCTTTACGTACAGCCATGATTTTCCCCGTCCCCGACCCATCACCCGGCTTGGGCATGAAAAACTTTCTCGTGATGGGATTCTCCAGGAATGGGCGTGCAAGCCAGGGCAATGCTCCCACAACCGCGGCAAACGGGGCCATCTGATGGAAATTCGCGATCAGGTTCTCCACGTCGCGCCCCTGGCTAACGAATCCGATGGGCTCGCCAAAGGAGAGTTGGCAAATCATGTCATACGCAAACCATCTGTTACACACACAGAGAGAGAGAGATGAGTAAATGATTGGGATGTGATGGGCATGAAACCTACTGGGACCAGGCAGCAAAGTCCAGTTCTTCGCCCGTCTCCACAAACCGCTGCGTCAAAATATGAGTCCACTGCGCGATGCGCTCATCGACCTGCCCTTCGAGGTGCTTCAGGTTGGTCAAGGTGAACGAGGCGGCAACCCTCTTGCGCTTGATGGCATGCTCCTCGTGTTTGAGAGTTTGGAAAGGTGGGGCAATTTCACCGAGCACGCCTACGGTATAGACATCGGTCTTGTCCACTCGCCGATGGTAGATGAGCGGTAGGAGCAATGGATCATCAACTGCCAAGAGGTTCGGGGCAGCGCGTACAATGCTCCCATACTTTTTATGGTATTCCAGACCCAGAGTGTGGGCCTGCTTGGTGTGCAGAATCCAGAGTTTGAAAAAATCGGACACCGAGGCCCAGAAAGGGCCGGGAAATGCGCGGAGTGGATGGAAGTAGCGGTTGTAAAAGCCTTGACAGAGGACATAGCTCACCAGCGTGAGAGCAAGGACACTGTAAGTGTACATGATGGGCGGGTGTGCAGTAAAGCCACCTTACTGCGGGTGGAGATCAGCTCGAGTTCTTTTATTTGATCATTTCTGACACAACCTGCATGCATGTACACAGGCTGATGGTCAGAAACCCCACTTAGCCCACGGCTTACGGTGGTCATCCTGGAAAGCCCTAAAAAGAGTTGGATCGATTCTTGGCCGACCAACCATCATTTTGCTCATAGCGCAGGTGGGCTTTCCTGAGTCATCTTGGCAATTCTGCCAAAGTCGGATCTTGGCCAATTCCAAGCTAAGTATGTTACGACTAGGCATGTTCACAAAAAAGGCATGAGCCGTAACTAATACACAGGTGTGTCCCAGACTTTTTCGAGACACTGATAAGTAGGGCCGGGTACAGTAACTCCATGTCACCCAACATATACATATTAGATCGACTGAGGATGATGTGAAGGTACATGGGATATACATTACAGGTTCTTTACAACTGTAACATGAAACCGAGCAAGTCATGAGATCCAAGAGCTTTAGTGCACCACCTCCGTATCTTCAACTGTGATGCTCTTGATTTGATCAAGTATGCTCATGCTCTCGCTGGGGATAGCTTATCAGTGGCCGATAAAGCTGTCTCGATCGACCATTAGTCCCAGCCGCACATTTGGTCTCCCCAGCCCATGGTACAAGATACAAGAACGAACCTTTTAATTGAAGATGAACACCTAGTCAGCAGTGGTCTCGCTACAGGGTTGTGGACAAGTGAAGATATTGCAAGCAACTTTATATCTTATCTGACATTCTCACAGCTACAGACCTACAGGATGACGAACGAAAACACTGACACATCCCAATCAAACCGCCAGCTTGCTCTCCACCGCGTTGGACAAGCTCTGCAAGGAGGAGGTATCATTCAGCACCTCCAGGAATGGAATATCTACCTTGAACACAGTGTAGAACCAGGAGCGGAACTCGGAGGCGATCATGCTGTCCATTCCATACGAAGTGATGGGCTTATCCGAGACGATCTTATCCAGATCCATCAGCAGCAGATTGGAAAAACGCTTGCGGACCAGGAGGAGAATGGCGGCATTCAGAGTCGCCGCAGTGGCCACCTCGGGAGTGGTCGCCATGGTCTTGAGGACCCCTGCAGGGATGCCAGCAGCCCAGGGGAGGGCGGACACTGAGACGGTGCTGACAGAGGCTGCATTGGCGGACGTCGAGGCGGAGGGGGCATCCAGGGAGGCAGATAGAAGAACAGCGCGGGGATCCTGCATCGTCCCGTTGTTGACATCGAAGCCACGATCGAGCAGTTGACGAATTCCGTGCGGTTCAAGGCCAGTGAGAATGTGGGAAGCCGCCAAGGGGTCGTAGTCCAGACCCGGAGCCTTCGAGCTTAGCCCGGTGGCTGCTGTGTGGGCTAGGGCAAGATCGATGACCTGGATGAGCTCGGCTTCATTGAGGGGCTGAATGCCCTTGCGCAACAAGAGGGCCTCGATCTCTGGGTTCTCATGCAAATAACCAACCTCGGAGATCATGCCCAGACCGACGGAGACGATGGGCTTGTCGAGGCCGCGCCTGTAGCGGGCGAAGGCATCCAGGAAGCCGTTTGCAGAGCAATAGTTGGACTCGGTGGCGGTGCCCACACTACCCGACACGGATGAGGTGAGAAGGAAGAAGTCCAGCGCAGCGTCGCCGTGGGCCTCGAGAGCATGATGGAGGTTCCAGGTTCCCTGCCATTTGGGCTGGATGCCCGTGTGCCAGGCCTTGGGGGTCATGGTCGAGAAGAGCGCCTCGCTCAGCCCCATCGCCGCCTGAATGACTCCCCCGATGGGTCGAATGCACGCCTCGACCGCCGCCTGCACGTCCTCAGCGTTGATGATATCACCCCGCACGACTTGAACAGTCGCCCCGGCTGCCTCCAGGCCAGCAACGAGATCGCGCGCGGCCGGCTTATCACATCCAGACCGGCCCAGAAAAGTGAAGTGACGAGCGCCGCGCTCGAACATCCACCGACTGAGGCTCCGGCCCAAGCCACCCAGGCAACCCACGAGCAGATACGATTTGTTCGCGTCGAAGGTGGTGAGGTGACGGGCATGAGCCACACGGATCACACTGGAGGGATTCTGTAAGGAGATCACGACCTTGCCGATGCGCCCTTTGGTCGAAAAGAAGCGGTATGCCTGGCTGATCTCGCTGACGTCGAAGGTGGTGATGGGAACAGGCTTGACCGCGCCGCAGCGATAGAGCTCCAACGCTTCCGCAAATTTGCTATGGTTGGTACGGATGGTCAGCAACCCAGAGAACGAAACACTCGGAGCTATAGGGAAATCCAAGCAGCAAGAAAAGCAAACTTACGTAGTCCAAATGTTCCGGTAGTGCTCATCTTGGTGATAGAAGAGTTCGGTCAAGTCGAATGCGGTAAAGGTGGCATTGCGTAGGAACATGCGCATGTCGAGGTTCCCAGCATCAATAATATCGCGCTTCCCTACCTCGACGAAACGACCAAAGTTGGCACAGCATTGCCAGGTGGCGTGAAGGAGGTCCCCAGTCAGGGAGTTGACAATCACGTCCACGCCGCGTCCGCCAGTGGCCTTCAGCACCCCGGCCACGAATGAATCATCGCGCGAGTTGAAAATGTTCTCCCGGGGTACCCCCAATTCGGAGACAAGGTAATCCTTCTTCTCTTCAGTACTGACGGTGGCATATACCGTGGCGCCGCGTTGCATGGCAATCGCAATGGTAGCGGCTCCGAAGGCACCGGCGCCGGAGTGCACCAGGATGCTCTCACCCGCACGCAGATGGGCGCGGTCGTCAAGAGCATATAGGGCGGTGCCGTAGATAACCGGTAGTGTGGGCATCACATCAAAGCTCTCCTGGGGAAGCATCTTTTGACATGCCCATGCCGGCACGCGTTCTACCGTACTAAAGGTGTTGGGTGCGAGCACGACGACACGATCGCCCGCCGCAAGATGGGTGACATCCGAGGCCACATTGCGAACAATGCCACTGAACTCAATGGCTGCGGTGCCTTTGCGAGTCTCCACCTTGCCAGAGAGAGTGTAGATGTCTTTGGCGTTCAAGCTGACAGCCTTGACCTCGATTTCGACCTGGCCCGCCGGAATCACCGTGGGGCTGTCTGCCTGTCTCTGGAAGTAGATCGAGTCCGTGATTCCCACGCGCTCAATGGCCAGACGAGCCGGGGATGCCTCTTCAAGCGTCATGGTGTCGATCTCGGCTGATTCCCTCTTCCGGAAGAGGTCGTTGAGTGTGGTTTCAGGCACGAATCGACTCACATGCACGAGGCCATTGTGCCAGACAAATTCCTTGTCCTCCGCCAGATCGTCGGTGCGAAGAATGTTCTGGACCTTGCCGCAGACATCCAGACGGCTTGCATGATCCGTTAACCGACCTACATCGAAGGTCACAAAGCGAAGTGCCGGCTGTTCCAGCATGAGCGCTCGTGAGAGACCACCAGACAGAGAGAGATCTGGTGCCTCCCCCGTCATGGTAGCAGTTCCGGTCAGCCAAATGAGGTCATGGGCATTATCCGTCACAATCTTGAATTTGGTCATCTGCTCCGGGGTCATGGTGGGCAGAAACGGGGTCTCCAGCTCGAGTAGAGAGATGACCGTTGCCCGCGAGATCATCTCCGCCGTCACGTCATCCAGGGAGGCAACAACCAGGTTCTCAGACCCAAAGAATTGTTTGAAGACATCGGCGATCTTCAAAGCGTGCTGATGCAGCAGAACCAATTGGTTGTGAGATGTGCGCAGCGGCTGAGAAGGAACGACGAGGGTGATGCCGAATTGCAGGTTTAACACTGTATAATCACGGCCCCCCAGCTGAGCTGATGTGAGAGACCCTGTTCGCGCGACAAGTATGCCATTACTCTCGACTAGGCTGAGCAAATGGTTGACCTGGGCCATAGATCGGCCTCCGGCGTCGTGAGGGAGCAGAACCACGTCGTACTTCCCATCGACCTCCCCGCCGTCCGCCGTCTTCCACTCTCGAATCCGGGGGAAATCCGTCTTTTGGTCGAGGATATCCTGCCACTCGCGTGTCTTGCAGTCGCATCCATTGCCAAGCTCCAACACGCGTAGGCGTGGGTTCTTGTGCGCAGCGAGATCTAGCAGGGCGGCCACCACGCCAACCTTGGTGTTGTCCGCCAAATCAGGGTGGCTGTGGAGGAAGTGGGTGATGTAGTTTCGGAATGGCATTTCGTCGTCTGCGGTCACCCGCAACAGATCAGGTTTCCATACGACACGCAAACAGGGGTGACGAGCTAGGGAGGAAGAGTGCTCAAGCTCGGGGCGTCCCATGTACAGGGATAAGCGAACTCCCCGCAGATTGATCACCGCAGAGCCGGAGTCATCGTTCAAGGTGGCGTCAATAGTCTTCGTACCAAAGCCAGTGCTCTGGGACTCGGTATGGATCAATCCGGTCGAGTTCACACTCTCACTGACTGGGGTGCTGATCTCGCAATGGTCGAGGAATACAGGTAGGTGGGCACGAAGCTGTCCGAGAATACCCGCTGTGCCACCCATGATAGCGGCCTGCAAACAGGCATCAATAGTGAGGGGATGAACGGTATAATAGTCACCAGGATAGCCCGACGACCGACCCCTGCGCTGCAGAATGGCGGTCTTGGACACCGCAGCTGGGTTGACTCGCCTCTTATCCGTCTTCATAGATGTCAGGGACTGAAAGGCGGGCCCGAATGCGAGCCCTTCCTCGGCCAGTTTGGCATACCAGGAACCCATCGTCCATTCCTCGTAGTCAACGGCGTTAACTGTAACCGTAGGCGCAGGGGCATCAGTTCCCAGCCTGATGCGACCAGTGCAATGCAACACCGTGCTTTGCTCCTGGCGGGACGAGATGCTAAATTCATACCAATTGCTGGAGGCAGCCGCCTTGGAGATGCGAGCCGGGGAGACGGTAGTATAGAGATCGGCCTGTTGCTGTTCGTCGGCGTATATGACCAACGCAGTCGCGATGTTGACATTGCGCAATGAAAAGGAAGGACTCGATGCCACAGCCCCAGTAATCTGAGACAGCGCTTCGATTGCCATGGCGATATAGCCCGCGGCCGGAAAGACGACCTGACTTTCCAGCTTGTGGTCCTCCAACCAGGGCACCTCGGATAGCCTCACTGTATTCTTCCACACCCGGTCAATCCCGTTCAGCGCAGCCATCTCCGATCCCAACAACTCATGACGCGGATGCTGTCGGTTACGAAGATCGCTACTGAGTCTCGACTCCCGCCACAGTAGCTGTGTATAGCTCCAGTGGTACGGGGGAAGATCTGGGATAACCCTGGCGGTGGTAGGTGCAGCATCATTGACAGCCATGATGTCCAGATCGTGTCCGCGGAGATACAGC